CCACTCTCATTTCCATTCTCTTTCTTTTCTTAATTTTTTTGATTTTAGAGAGAAGGGTGGGGCAGACAGAGACAGACGTTGATTTGTCATTCATTATTTATGCCTTCGTTGGTTGATTCTTCTGTCACACTAAAGAGCCCTGACTGGGGATCGAACCTGCAACCTTGGGACGTATTGGGACGATGCTGTAACCAACTAAACTACCTGGCCAGGGCTCATTTCCATTTCTACATTGAGGTTTGGACGGGACTTGTGTTTTATCACGGAGACCAAAACCCCTTCTCTCCCCTCCACAGAGACATGGCGTCATTGAAGGTTCTGCAGCATGACCTGGCGTTGAAACTGAACTGTCTTGAGCTAAAGGTCCTGACAGTGCTGAACAGAGAACACTTTCTTGGCTTTGAAAATTTAAAATAGGCTGTAACACTCAGTTCATTTGCTGCTGTGCCTTGGGGCTCCTCCGTGGAGGGTTCGGGCACCACAACCCTGACTTAGATTCCCAGGGTTAGCAGTGCTTGGGTTCACTGTCAGTTAACAGTGAAAGCGTAGAGCGTGGACATGTCTTGCTGTTCATCCACCCATCAGCCAGCTTAGAGTTTCAGTGTTGCTCAGTGCCCGGTGCTGTGCTTGGACACCATCCAGGGGCTGACAGTGAACAGTGAACTCCTCCCAAGAAGCTTCCGGGCTGTTGGAGGAGTTACAAACTAGGGAAGTGATGCATTCGGGCAGGGCCAGCACATTTAAGGTAAGGGGTCAGGTAATACATATTTTAGGCTTTGCAGGCCATGCAGCGTTTATGGAAGCTATTCAGCCCTAAGACTGTAGTGGGAAGCAGCCATGGGCAATGCGTAAACCATAGGTATGGCTGTGTGCTAGTAAGACTAGTTACAGAAGCCCAAGTGAATCAAATCTGGCTCCTGGTCCTAGTTTGTGCAACCCCTGCAACAGGGGTGTAATTAAAGTGTGGAAGCAGAGGAAGCAGCAGCTGAAACCTCCGGGGGACCCCTGAACCTATTACAAAGGCGGTGATGCGCTCTTCCACCCCCTCCTGGAGGTTCCCAGGTGATTTGAGGGTGGTGACAGAAAGGAGCAAAGAGGGGATTCCAATCAGAAGGGAAAATGTGTGCAACTATGGAGTCATGAAGGAATCGTCCGGCCGTTTGGAGAACAGTGTCAGTTTTAACGTGACCTGGAATGAGATCAGGCTAGGAGGCACCGGGCTTCTTCCCTGGATTAAAATTACTCCAGTGTCTTGGATCACTTTTCTCATCTTTGCTTTTTGCCTCATTTTGGGGGATGAATCACATCCTCTAGTGGTCCCCAGAGAACAGGCCGGTGGCGGCCACCTTCAGAGACTCTGTGGGCAGCTCGGTTTGCACCTGGCTTTGCAGGTCCACACCTGTCCTGTCCCCCAGGCATTGCGTGGGCATTCTGCTGATGCAGCAAGGACGGCTGTCCTGATTTTGAAAATTAGCTCCCGGAATCCTATAAAAACGCGTTCTCCTCTAAGAATAAGGCAGTGGTGGAGGACAAAAAGCACATTCTGACAATTTGAGATCGGAAGGGAGCAGAGACGAGTCTCACCTGTCCTCCCTGGGACTACGTGGGAAGGCTGCTCTGCTCAGGTACTGTTTGGGCCTCGGATGAGTCCACTGGAAAGTTCTGCTCGGTAGAGGAGCCAGATCTGTTACAAGCATAGCATTATATTGCCTGAATGACTTGCTCAGAATTTCCTCTGTCAATGTTATGACAAAAGAAAGTCGTCTTAGCCCTGGCCAGTGTGGTTCAGCGGTTGGAGCGTTGGCTGGTGGACCAAAGAGTCACAGGTTCGATTTGAGAAGGGGCATGTACCTCGGTTGCGCTTTGGTCCCCGGTCCTGGTTGGGATCATGCGGGAGGCAACAAGTCAATGTGTCCTCTCTCTTGATGTTTCTCTCTCTGTCCCTCCCTCCCTCTCTCTCTATCTAAAGATAAATGGAAAAAAATATCCTTGGGTGAGGATAAAAAAAAGAAAAATGGTCTTTATCATCCTGCCTGTTTTCAGTTGAGCAGGCACTGGCCACACCTGCCTTTGATTCTTCTGTCCCTGAGAGCACCCCACCCTGATGGCGCTGACCTCCTCGGGGTCTCTGATCAGTGGCTCTCGCTGGCCCTGGCCTGGGCCAGTGTGTCCTCTTGCCTGTTGCCTCCAACAGGAGTGGAGCCTTGCAGCTTGCCTTTGGGGAGTTCCTCAGATGGACCCTGAGTAGAGCTGGCTCTCTGCTTGAGGCTGAAGCCGGGAGGATTAAGTGATTTGCCCGCAGTCACACCGCTGATTAGTGATGGGGCCAGTTGACAGGCTGCGTTGCAGCGCCTGGCCCAGAGCTGGCCTCCACGCCTCCCCGTCCCTGCCACGCCGCGGACACACTTCTCTTTCCTAGAGCAACTGTAAACTTGGAGTGAAGGACCAACTTCAAGGTGATGCTTAGCCAGCCAGTGAATATGGTTTGTGATTATTTTTGTCTCCTTCATTCAGTTATTCCTGTCCACGCTGTGTAATCTTACATTAGCAACTGGCATTCCATGAGTACATTTTCCTTCTGATGAGTAATTTTGATGACACTGGAATTGACTAGAATGTTGTTCACCCAGAAAAGAATTGAACAATGTAGAAATGTGTGGTCGTGCCTTGTGTATATTTTGGTTATGATCATTTAAGTCGTTGGGGACCCATGTTCTCGGCTCTGGACAGTATTCAGCAGTAGCCAGAGGAGTCTTGCTGTTCCCTTTCTCTAAGGAGAATGTGTTTTGAATTCTTTTGTGTTTTTTTTTTTTTAAATCCTCACCTGAGGACATTTTTGCATTTATCTTCAGATAGAGTGAGAGGAAGGGAGGAAGAGAGAGAGAAACATTGATGTGAGGGAGACACATCGACTGGTTGCCACCCATACGACCCCAACCGGGGCCCAGGACAAACTGTAACCAAGGTATGTGCCCTTAGCGGGAACCAAACTCTGGTCTTTCTGGTCCGTGGGCCGACGCTCTAACCGCTGAGCCAAACTGGCCAGGGCTTGATTTCTCTTATTAGACTCTGATTATTTAGATGTTCGATTTCCTTTCCTTTATCAAATCTCTGTTTCTCACATCTCTTGTGACATTTTCTTTTTTAAAATGTGGCAACCCCAAGAGTTGGTGGTTGCTTTTTTTTTCTTGATTGATTTGAGAGAGAGAGGAAGGGAGAGGGAGAGAGAGAGACACATAGATGAGAGGGAACATCGATTGGCTGCCTCCTGCATGCCCCCCACTGGGGATCCTGCCCACAACCTGGGCATGTATCCTGACCGGGAATCAAACCAGCGACCTCTTGGGGCACAGGTCGACGCTCAGCCACTGAGCCAAGCGCAGTCTGTTGTTTTCAGGGTGGGGCCGTGCTCCCCGGGAGAATACTGTGTAGAAGTGGTTGTCTTCTTCCTTTTCGTTTTCCTGTTTCCCAGCTCGTTTCCACTGGGGGTAACTTTTATTTTCCCTTTGGTTATCCAGTGGATCCTGACATTAATGTCATAGGCTTTGCATATCCAGGGTGGGCAGAAGTAGGTTTATAGTTGTGAGTATGTGGAACCCAGCTTTTATTCTTGTAGTATTATTTATTAATGAATTGTTGTAGTGTCGACTTGTATTATTTGTCTTTCCCTGGGAACCCACGTTTGCCCACCCCTGTACGTTTCGGGATCCTTGGTTGGGCCAGTATCAAAACGAGGCAGCGTCGGGTCTGCCGAGGGGTTTCGGCGTGGACGGACGGGGCTGGCGGCGCCACAGCGCGAGCGGATGGGCGTGTGTCCTGCGGCGGTCCCTCGGCGGCAGGTGTGCGTGGCTTTCCTCTTGGCCCCTAACTTCGCTGTGAGGCTCCTCGGCTTGACCGACAGTTCTTCCTTCTGGGGGGGCTGCCCGCGTGGGTGCGAGTGGCGAGTGGGAGCTTACCGGAGTCGACTCTGCCGGCGGACCTTCGAGTCTTCGTTTCAGCCCATAGCCACTGGCCCTCCTTCCTGCTCCTCTCTTTTCCCACCTAATTTGTCAGCCATCCTGCTGCTTATGGGGTCTCCCTGTACCTCCCACAATACACAGCACACACTCACAGAGCTTACTGCCTGCTTGGCACGCGTCCGAGTGCTGTACACAGATTTACTCATTCCGTACTCACAGCAGACTCACGGGAAAATACAGTTACACCCCCACGTCACAGGTGAGGAAAAAGAAACAGGGAGGTCAGGATCGCACAATAGGTGGCAAAGCTGGTGTTTGGATCCCATCTGGGTATTTAAAAAAATATTTGTATTGATTTTGGGGGGGGGGGGGAGACATCCATGTGAATGCGGTTGTAGGTCGGCTGCCTCCCGCACGCCCCCTACCAGGAATGGTGGTCAAAAACAAGTAACTGTAAAAGTTAACATATACTAATTAGTTTAAAATGTCACTCCAGCCCACCCAGTGTGGCTCAGTGGTTGAGCATCGACCCGTGGACCACAAGGTCATGGGTTTGATTCCCAGTCAGGTCACATGCCCTGTTCAGGCTCGATCCCCCGTGGGCGGCGTGCAGGAGGCTGCCAGTCGATGCTTCTCTCTGTCCCTTCCTAGCTCTCTAAAAATCAATAAAAACGTATTTAAAATAAATGAAATAAAATATCATCCCCTGTATTAAAAATGGTCAGAAGTTCAGTCTCATGCACTGCTTTTCTGTATGCGCCGTAGCAGTAGAGGGGAGAGCTGGCAAACACGGTCAGCCTTAAGCTTGAACTTGAAGCCTGTCACTTGAAGATTGACCCTCCCTGAGGCAGCAGCTGTTCTGATTGCTGATGGCTCCGACACTGAGGCAGCTCGCGTCTAGCATCTCCAAAGTCGTTAGCGTGCCGTTGTTTCAGTTGCTTCCATTTTCAGTGTCAGTGTGCACAGCATCGGGGGTGTGTGGAGAAGTGGGAACACCGTTTGACATCCTTCTCCTCGTCTAGGACTGACCACAGTGCACGGATGATGGACGTCGCCTCCTGTCTGAGACAGCCGTCCTGGACGGTGGCCAGTGAACGAGTGAGGATGACTGCAAATCTCCGGCGGTTCTTATCAGCATTTATTCTTCTGTATGTAATAAATCAAGTAAATAGCCAGAAAAAGGGTAAGTACCTCAGGGTCAGAGACTGAACCAACTGCAGTGTGATCTTGTGTCTTCATTAAAACCTTCAGGGTTTGGGTGGTCACATCCATTTCTTTGTCATCTTTTTTTCTGTGTACTTATGGTTTCTTTCTAAAAGACCCTTAAAAATAGATCTAAGTTGTCTTTCCCCATTTAAAAAAAACTAAGGTATAATTCATGCTTTTGGGATAAAATTCCGTGAATTTTGACAAATGCATACATTTGTCGTCACCAGCACAGTGACGACACAGAACAGTCCCCTCTCTCCAGAAAATTCCCCCCTGCTCCTCTGTGGTCAGACCCCCATCCCACCTCCAGCCACACTGATCTATTTCTGTCTCTACAATGCCTTTCAGAATGTCATATAAACGAAATTGAATCTCTCTCTTTTATATGTTATTTGTTTTCATCTTATTTGACTATATTACGTATGTTTGTGTAAATGGTACCTAGCTTATTTCTATAAGACATTATCCTTCTGCCCCTGGGTTTAGTTTTTATATTATTTTCATAATTAAATAGATCTTATCATTTCCCCAAGATCACCATTAAATAACTTTGTTATAATTACTGATTCTTTCTAGCGCACGTCTAATATTTTTGTTTGTTTTATACAGACAGCTATATGACTTATCGCTGTAGTAAATAGAATGCCAGCAGTATGTAAAAATTAGAGGAAAAGACTTTTCGTGAACATTACATGGAACAGGGGTTTTCAGCTGGCGCTGCAGGAGTTGTTGAAGCAGGACCTGCCCGTTCAGTCGGAGGCACTGGTCTCGTCTCCCTTAGACTGTCAGATACGAAAGTGACAGCAGGCAATGACCGTCCTGGTGAATGATTAAAATTAAATCTGTTTTTTTTTTTTTTTTGTCAGATCGACAAAAAATATATTTTTTTCGTGTGCTGCAGAATTTTAGTGATCAGTCTGTGTGCGCCATGCGGTGAACAGGTGAAGGCTCTGACGGAGGGTCTAGAGAGAATCTCTTTCACACACAGTTGCCCCCCCCACCCCCTTCCTCCCTTTCTTCCTTCCATCCTCCCTCTTTGCCTCCTCTTGTACCTTTTATTTTTCATTTTTGTTTTAGAATGACATGTTTTTATTGTATAGTGTTTACCTATTCCGTGCGGTAATGCTATTTTATAGATGCGAGTCGGTACTATTGGATTGTAATCTTCTGAATCATTGGTTACTTTTCAGTTGTTTAGGCCGATATGAAATATATATATATATTTTTCAGAGACTTCCTTGAGCTCATTATTGTATACGTTTAATACGCTTCATAAAAATCTCAAGGTTGGCTACAGGACCTCTGTGTAGGTGGCAGTCCGGTACCCAGCAGCGCCCGGGAGTGCCCAGCGCCTGTTTGTGGGCATGGAGAAGACGCAGTTTCTATCTAGAATCACTTTCTCTTTTTTTGCAAATGAGGCTCTTAGAGATAAAAATTCTCCTGGGCCCCTTGGTCCCATCACTGAGCCACGCGGGCACCCCTCTGTTTACCTTAGTTGTCTGCAAGTGGAACTTTTGACACGGGCCTAACCCGTAAGTGGTTTAGCGGTCGATGCACTTTCATCAGGTTGCTCGCGAGCTTTTGTAAGCCAGAGCTACAAAAAGAAATAGGAAACCAGCCACCTCCTGTCCTGCCGGCTCCTCTGCACGGAGAACGTGGGCCCCCTGCAGACACACGCTTGTACGTGGGATTGAGAACAGTTTAGCTCGCTTTTCACAGTGCAGTGAAATGATCAAGCGTGGCGTGTGTGTGTGGTTTCTCCTCCTCCAGGGGCTCCTCGTGACCTGAAGTGTGTAACCAGCAATTTACAAGTGTGGGACTGTTCTTGGAAAGCATCCTCCGGAGCAGGCCGTGGGGCTCTTTATGAAGTTTGCATTGGAAACAGGTAATGAATATGCTTTGACTAATTTACAGCTACAGCCTAAATAGAAAGGTTCTTTCTCTTTAATTTTAGAGCATAAAGATTTCATTCTCTAAAATGTTTTTGTTTTTGGTACGTGCCCCTAGTGGGAACCGAACCCGGGACTCTGGTCTGCAGGCCGACGCTCCAACCGCTGAGCCAAACCGGCTGGGGCTCATTCTGTAGATTTTTTTTTAATGAAATTGAAATCTTAGCGCTCTCTCTCTCTCCTGAAAATGCTGAATATTCTTTCATCAGTGAAGGTGGAAAGAAACCTTTCTCCTGGCCCAGACTTTGCTGCTTTTATTGTGTGAATGAAGGAGGTGACACACCTGTACCGAGCGGTGAGCTCAGACCTGCTGTGGGGAGGTTCGCTGGTGTGTACCAGCCCAGCGTCTGCCTGTGTCAGGCTGAAGTTCTGACTGTGCCTAACAGAAAACGTTCGTCATGGTGGCCTAACAGACGGCCTTTCACACCCATGTGAAAGGTCTGGATAGGAGTGCAGGCTGACCTTGCGGTTCCTGGCTACGGGAGCCCCAGGTCCCTCTGATGTGACCTCGTGGTTCAGGAGGACGCTTGAGGAGTGGCCCGCATGTCCGGATTCTGGAAAGCAGGGAGGAGGAGAAGGACGCTGTTGTTAAGGAGACGTCTGGGAAGCCCCACACGACACCCCTGCTCGCGTCTCATTGCAGGACGGAGGCAGGTGGCTAAGCCGAGCTGCACAGGGCTGGGCCCCGCGGCCTCCCAGCCAGATGGCGGTGTGCCCGGATCAGCTGGATTGATGCAGTGAGCGAAGAGGGGACGTGGACGTTAGGGGGCACGGCAGGTGCTGTCACACCACCTACCCTTTCAGACGGTGCTGGAGCGGGCACGGTGCTTCGAAGTCCCGAGCTGGCTGCGTGTGAGCCAGGACGATGCCCCTGCTCTCTTCCCTGACCCCAGCAGGGTGTGCCGTTGTCCCAGCAGTTCCAGAGGATCCCGGTCAGCAGCTCCAGGTCCCATTGTGCTGAGTGGTCCTAACGTCAGTTGATGTAAATGTGTATTTAAATACACTCCGACTTTTTCTAATTCAGTGGACATTTAGGGAGTGCTGGTCTCAGCACTGGGTCTTTAGTCCGTTTGGATGAGTTGGGTTGTGTTGCAGAAACAACCCTCCATTCTTTCTTCTCTACTTTCTGCGGTGAACATAAAGGCTTGCCTTCTGCTTGCATTTGGTGTTGTCATGGGGCAGCGGGCATCCTCACCCGTGGCCCTCCCTGGGGCCCAGCGCTGTGGTGGCCGGAAGGAGGGAGCACAGCCTGGAGGGCTTTTGCGGCTTCCTTCCTGAAGGGGTAGTGTGACCCACTCAGGTTTCTCACACGCGAAGTCCCGTGGGCACGCCTTGCCTCAGGAGCGTGGAAGTGCCGTCCTACTGTGCGTCCAGGAGGCGGGAACCTCAGACGTGCTCAGTAGACCGCGGGCCCCACGGGGAGGACGTGGGTCTGACTCCAGACCCTGGCGGTGCTGTGCGTTCGGTGCCGGCAGGACTGTGTGCGACGGGCCAGGGGCGTTGGCCCAGGAGTGGCCGGCTGTTCACACGGCTGTTCACACGCCGCTCGGAGGAGGTGTGGTCGTGGGGTAAACACTCAGCTTTCCCAGCGGGAGAGGACGGAAGGACCTTCCAGGCTGGAAGGACACTGGGCACAACGCATGAACGTATGAAGTAGCACAGCTTAGAGAATCCAGGCGGTTTTGATGCAGGGGCCCTGGAGCCCCAGCTGAGGGGGCTCTTGGCTTCGCGCAGGAAAGAATTCAAGACACGAGCCAGACGAGAGGTTAAAGCGAAGGAGGGTTTATTAGTGACGCAGCGAGGCAGAGGGGGCCCCTTCTTACACGGAGGCAGGGACACCCCAGCCGTCACAGAGGTTGAGCTTGTGTCTACTTCCTGTGGAAAATGGCTGGTGTGGGGAAGTAGAGAGTGGACCAGCTCACTGGGATTCGCTTTAACCTTTACAAGGTATGTTTCGTGGTGTTTTCCCTTACGATGTGAGTGAACACTGTGGTATGTGCAAGCTGTTGATAGTAATCTGACCTATGACCGATTAGCCAGGTCTCGGCGGCTGGCATGTGGCAGGCTCTGAGGCTAGCTTGGCTTCACTTCGGTCTCTGTTAGTTCTCGCGCCTCTTCGCCGGGTTAGTTTTGTGTTTTTGGCACCAGAAGAAGCCTCGCCAAGAGTTGAGAGGAGGTGAGCGGAGCCTTGCAGGTCCTCAGCCCCGACTGAATACGAACTGGCCCTTTGGGTGCTGGGGTGCGGGCAGGGGTGTAGGAGCCACCGGACGGAGACCCCTTGGCTTGAATTAAAATGGTTAGGGGAGGTCAGAAATATATATGAATAACAGTAAAAAGAATGCAGATGTGTTTCCTAAAGACACAAAGGGCCACGGAGCCACAGAGGAAAGAGCTTCTGTCTGCGAGAATGAGAGGAGGAGGAGAAGCATTGTGAAAGCCCAGTTGACCAGAGAGGTTTGCTCAGCGAACCGTGAGCCCACACGGAACAAGCAGACAAGTTGAGGGTGTGTTTTTTGGGAAGACAAGTAGCTGGTTCCTTCCTGTGGTCGGTGTCTTGGATGTGAGGTGTGTGTGGGGGGGGTGTATGCAGTGGAAGGCGAGGCTGGAAGGGGGCTCGGGTGAGGTTTGAAGAGCGTGATACAGTCCTGATTCCTCAAGAAATCCTCTGTGCCTGCTCAGCAGTCTACTACAGTCCGGTTCTTTTCTTGCTCCTACATCGGGGTACTTGCCATTAAACTCTTTTTCATTCTTAAAATGCAGTGTAACCTATCGTGTTTTTGTCTACAAAAGGGCATTATGTATTTTCCAGTGCATTTTGAGTTAATCAAGTTGTAATGGATATTTTACTGTTAATTTTATCTGCTGATTAAATAAAATTTGATTTCTTAATATTGCAGGTCCCGTTCTTGTTATCAATTGGGGAAGACAAATACTAAAATCCCACCTCTTTTACCTGGTGATTATGAAGTAACGGTAAACCCTCCACATGACTTTGGAAGTTCTATAAGTAAATTCACACTAAATGAAAAAAATGTGTGTAAGTATCTGAAAAGAAAACGGATTTGGAAATAACTCAGAACCGTGCCTTTGTTAGTTTGTGGTGCTTTGTAAATGGGCGGGAATTGAGCATTCTTCTGAGTTTCATTTGTTCAGAACCCTTTCCATTTTCCCAGCACCCGCACTGCCGATGGAAGGGCGTAGCTGTGATGGGAGGAGCACACTCACTCTCTCGTCCAGCGACTTGCAGCTGGTGTACTTCGGGGATTTTTAAAACACGCAATACCAAGCTGGGGATGGGGCGGGGGGGAGTGTGTCAGTGGGGGAAAAATGAGAAACATCTGTAACAAAAACAAATTAATAAATAAAAAATTTAAAAAATAAACATTTAGCACAAGACAATTAAAGGAAACCCTAAATATACACACAACATTAAATTAATAAGTCATAAAAATAGTGGTCACAAAATAAATGAATACTACCTAAATTAATATGAAAAACACATACATCAATATGAAAAACACACCATAAATAAAATGAACAAAATATCAAGTTATAGAAAATATACAAATATTTGATAAATCTGTAAAATATTAAACTATGAATGTAATAAATATGAATGTAATAAAATATTTACTCTCCAAATTAGCAAAATTTTTATCATATTTTTCATTGTGGACTAGGGTTTAAAATAGACCCTACACCCTGTGGGTGAGACAGTGATTTAGTATAATCTTTCTAACAAGAAATTCTAAAATATACAAAGTTAAAAAACCTCTATATGTTTGACCTAGCAGTTCTATTTATAAAAACAATCCTTGAGTAATAAATATAAATGTAAACAAACAAAAAAACATGCAATACCTGCCTGGCTGGTGTGGCTCAGTGGCTTGAGCGTCGACCCATGCTCTGAGAGGTCGCTGGTTCGATTCCTAGTCGGGGCACATGCCCAGATTGTGGACTGGATCCCCAGTATGGGGCATGCAGGAGGCGGCCAGTTGATGTTTTTCTCTCATCAATATTTCTATCTCCCCTTCTCCCTTCCTCTCTATCTAAAAAAAAAAAAATCAATAAAAATATATTAACATAAATAAAACATGCGCTACCTGGCTATTTAGTCAGGAGCACTAGCCTCTTTTCTCATAGATTAGCAAATAAAAAAATGACAACAGCCAGCACAACAATAGCCATTTGGTATGAAGGAATCAAAGTTACACTTTTTTTTTTTTTTGTCAGATCAGCAAAAAATATATGTTTTGGTGTGCTGTAGAATTTTAGTCATCAGTTTATGTGTGCCAGTTTATGTGGGATGAAAAAGGTTGAAAATTGCTGCTCTAGTCTGTTGAAATAGATGTCACTGAATTCAAGATCCTTCCTTCGGTTGGATACTTTTTCTTCGCCCCCTTGCCTCGTTGATTCCTGCACACCTTTCAGAATTTCTCAGGTGCTCCTTGCTCTAGGAGGTGATCTTTGACCAGCCATACTCAGAGGAGACCTCCTTCCTTTCCCCTTAGGCAGTCTGTATTTCTCCTTTGTGCCATTTCTCACCATTGCATAAATAATTGGCGGTGTAAGTAGGTGCGTACTGTGTGTCTCCTTCACGAGAAAATGGGTTCCGCCCGGGCAGGGACTTGGTCTTCTGCACCCGGCGCCTGGCCCCTGCCTGGCACACCGCAGGCGTCTTCTGCAGATATGAGGGTTGACTGGGAAGCTACTTGCAGATGATGGTGTTAGAAAGAAAGGATTAGAAAGGCAGATCAAGAGAGACTCCGTTCCATTGATACTTCATTATTTTTGCATGTTATGTAATTTGTTGATAGCGCTTTAAATAGTGGCTTGATATGGATTTGAATATTAGATTAGCAGTATCCCAATACTCAGATATTACTACTACTAAGACAGTGCTGGTAAGAAAATTGAAGAGCAGGTTAGGCGGACGTGAGAGAGGGCGGTTGGCACGTCTTCGGCATCTGCCCTGGGCGGGGGACGCCGTGGACAGTGCAGGACAGCGGCTGAGCCTTAGAGGATCTGGGTTCTCTGGCAGCTTGCCACTGACTAAAAGTATGCGAAATTACGTTTCTTCAGATCTTAAGATGCTTTCAAAAGTGTATGTGTAAAAAGCAAACAAGGTATTTAACATATATACATACATGTAATATATTCTTAATTGACAAGGGCAGGTACAAAAATAAGTCTAAGAATTTTAATGTCTACGTTTTTTATAATAACCTAAAAATTTGGATCTTTCTGAGGCAGAATAAATACTGTGGTTCCCACGGAAGAGCTGGCCAGGCTCTCAACTTGTGATGTCCTGAGGCAAAAAGAACAAGGAGGTTTGCGGAAAAGACGCTCTAGCTTTAAAAAATAAGCAAACGAGCCCGGCCGGTGTGGCTCAGTGGTTGAGCATCAACCCTGCACCAAGAGGTCGCCAGTTCGATTCCTGGCCAGGGCACGTGCCCAGGTTGTGGGCCTGATCCCCAGTGGGGGCATGTCCCTCATAGATGGGGAGACTGGAAGAATCTGAAGGTTACTTACTTTTTTCTCTCTACCTTTTGTAGTACAGCTACTGAGCCCAGTTGATATTCACTCTCATCGATGTTTCTGAAAGCAAGTTAATATGGTTCGCACTGTCTATCTTAGCTGGAAAGAAAATGCAGATGTCAGTGATGGAAGCTTAGGGGAACTTCCCAGCATACTAGAAAGAAAGAAATGAACAAAGTGTGTGCATTTTATCCTTTCATTTACAATTACTGTCTTTAGCTTGAACTATTGAGTGTGGCATGTTTTGAAGAGCAGCCCACTGCTGTTTAGATGCAATGTAAATGGTGTGGACTTCCCAGGGAGGAAAGCATTTTAATGGATGAAGGTTGCCTTAGTAAAATACTCCCATGTCTCATCATTTTAAAGTTACTGTGTCGCGATGTCTTGGGACATTGGAAAGAACTGTGTTCTTGGAAGCACCTTGGACTTTCACTCTCGGCACTGAAGCGACTCCTTGCCCCTCATTTGCTCCTCCTTTAGAAGCAGTGTCCCACTCAACACTCGTCCTGTGAAGCGTCCTCCACGGGGCTTATATGACTGAGCATGTTCTGTTTCCTGTGCGGCCCTGAGCATTTCACACAGGTCCGTGGTAGGGCACGGCGGTCAGCAGGTGCTGTCAGGTGTAGTGTGGACTTCTTGCTAAGTTCCAAGAGGAATGCATGCTGAGGGTTTGCTCCGCCATTGGTGTTAGCACATTCCGCTGCCCTCCTGCCAGGACTTCACTTCATTGGTCCTTGAGCTTCGTGGGCAAGCCCCTGGGATAGCTGTGAGGCCTGAGAATGTGTGTCTGTCCTTTTCTTTTTGATTAAAAAAAGCATTTATTTTTCTTTAGTGATTTGAGAGGGAGAGGGAGAGGGAGATAGAATCATCAATGAGAGAACATTAGTTGGCTGCCTCCTGCACGCCCCCCACTGGGGGTCAGGCCTACAACCTGGGCATGTGCCCTGACTGGGAATCCAGCTAGCAGCCTTGTGGTGCCTGGGTCGACGCTCAACCACTGAGCAACCCTGGCCGGGCTGTGCCTGTCTTTTAACCCACCTTCACCTCACTATCATCTGAGGAGGGAGCATGCAAGGGAGAGTCCCAAGTTTCTCCGTCCCTCAGACCAGAAACCGTACGTTTCCTTGCAGGCTCAGCCCTTGTGTGTTTCCCGCCGATCCACCAGAAAAAATTTCAGTAACTAACTTGTCCCTCATAGATGGAGACTGGAAGAATCTGAAGGTTACCTACTTTTTTCTCTCTACCTTTTGTAGTACAGCTACTGAGCCCTCTGCTCCTTCTCCCCAAACTTCTTTCTCGGATACTGACAGTCCCCTCACCAGTGTTACTGGTCTTTTCTGTCCTCTACGAACTCTGTTTTGTTTGCCTAGATGACAACCCATTTCTTTTTGTCTCGGTGATCCTGGATTTTCTCCGGGTGACTCCCTTCTGCGTCTGTGTCCTTCTCTTCAGGGCCTCTGGCTTCTTGAAGGTGTAACTGTCTGTCCATAGCCCCCAAACGACGTCAGCTGTCTCATGTCCGTGCGCTCACGTTCATTTCTTCATCTCCACTCGGCCCCGTCCTCGCGACCCCGTGTCCAGGGTCTCACCCTGCTGTCTGCAGACCCCTCTGTTGACGCCTCTTCTCCCGAGGCTCGGTCACCCACAGCAGTCTCCCGCATGTCTTCACAATGGCCCCTGATTTCTTTAGCCTTTCTTGCTCTTCTGGGCTAGAAACTTAAGGAGATCTCTGATGTTTGCCTTTCTCGTTATAATCTTTCATTTTTTTGATCCAGTCATTTCTTTGAAACACCCCTAGATTTTGTCCTGGCTTTCCCATACATGGTGTCCTGACCCCAGCCTCATTGCTCTGGCCGGGTTGTCTCAGGTGGTCTCCTTGGTCACCTTCTCTCTCTGTCAGTCTCCTGCACAGCCCTGCTGACCCGGCCGCGGAAGGACTGCAGATCTGCAGAGACTCATGGCCTTCCACCCTCAGCCCCGTGCTCTCTGCTACGGTCTCGCTGCTGCTGCTTGACACCTGTAACCAGGAACAGCCCCTAGCATCCTCCGGTGAGGGGCGCCCCCAGCCTGGCGGGCTCTGGCACCGGAGATGCGGGGGAGGCTGCAGAGAGCACCCCGAAAGCTACCAGGGCAAGCTTTCCGCAGCCCGTCGCTGTCTTGGGCCTGATCTACAGCCGTACACAGGGACTTCTTTTCCTTCTCTCTGGTCTCCCGGAGTGTGATGGGGACCCCTTTGCTATGAGAAGAGACATTATGGATTTGAAACAGTCAGCCGATACATAATTTTCTCAAATTTGGCTGATGAATCATTGGGAGCTGCTTATACAAATAAATACACACACACAATATATGTATGTGTATGTGTGTGTATTCTCTTTTCAGTACTAGCTTCAAGAGTTTGCTTTTAGTTCTTGATTATTTATATTTTGATCAGGAAGGAATAGAGTTTAAGATGAATTGACTAATGGAATTGCAATATGAAACATCATTACTTATTTCACTAAGTTTTATTTTTTGCTTCCTTTTTCAAGACTTCATCCCAGACGCTCCGGAGATCTTGACCTTGTCTGCCGATTTCCCAGCTTCTACGTTGCACCTCAGGTGGAATGACAAGGCCTCCTTTTTTCCACATCACTCAAATGTCATTTGGGAAATTAAAATTCTGCGTAAAGAGAATTTGGAAGTCGTAAAATTAGTAAGTCTGAACAAAGTACATTCTCTTTTCCTGTGACATTAAGGAAACAGAATACTTTTTACAATTATTTTTAAGGTGGCGTCAGTGAACCTTTGGATAATTAAGGAAGTAGATCAGATAGCCTTTCAGGGTTCATTAAAAACTAATCACTCAATGATTAAAAATTATAGGAAGGAAATTGTGGGAGGAATAGTCCATGAGTCCATGACTTGACCACAGTGAACACTCCTTTGTGTGTTCTGGTCTGGCCTGTTTTATATGATATTTTCACATAAGTGAAATAAAAGTGTGCATATCATTTAGTCTGTTAGTTTTAACTTTGTGTCTGATAACTGTAAACATAAAAAGAAATGTTTTGAAACATATTTAGCCATAGTAATTGTTCCAAAATTGTGTATAAATCTGTAAGTTTGAATATATCTTATTCTGAAATAAGTCTTATATTTAATAATACCTGCTTTTTATTTCTCTTATTTTAAAAATCCAGTTTTGAATGGTTTCCTTATGATCTGTCTTTAGTTTGCTCTTACTCTAAGGGATAATGAGAAACAGTGGGAAGTTTTGCCAGCTGGTACGTGGAAATCCCCCCTTATCCTTTTACCTTTCTTCCGTAATGGATTAGAAATATGCTTAGTTATACATTTAAGAATTAGACTGTATCTCATGATTTTACAACTTATTTGCCTAAATACATAGATAAAATAGTACAGATCATAATTAGGATGTTTTGTTTCACAGTTACATTTTTTCCTTTTTAAAAAAAATTAGTATGTTTTTGATTTTTTTGAGAGAGAGGAAGGGAGAGAGAGATAGAAACGTCCATCGGCTGCCTCTTGCACGCCCCTGCCGGGGACCGAGCCTGCAACCCGGGCATGTGCCCTGACCTGGAATCGAACGGGGCCTCTCAGTCCACTGGACGACCCTCCATCCGCTGAGCCGCACCAGCTGGGCCTTTCTGTTCCTTTCTGACAACCTGAGTATTACATTCCTGAAATGATAGCGATCACCATTGTTGTCACATGTGTCTGAGGCTTCTAGAGGGCCTGTCACCATCATAAAAGGTCTCTGTGTGGCACCTCTCTGTGTCCACACAGCAGGCCGAGGGAGGCGCTCCTAGCCACCTCCCATTTTACAGAGAAGACACAGAGTCACAAGAAGACATTAAATGGACTCAAACCCAGGCAGTCTGGTTCCAGAGTCTGTGCTCTTAATCACTGCAACTTATTTCACATAATAATACGGTTTTTCATCTAAGATGCCCTCCCTTTCTTGTCACCTATACACAATGAACCTATGTTTCAAGACTCATGTAAAATCCTACCCCTTGTTTTAAAGCTCACCCTAATGACCTCAGCCCAAAATGCTTGTTTTTCCTTTTCTTTCTTTTTTGTGTAAATCCTCACCTGAGGATATTTTTCCATTGATTTTTAGAGATAGTGGAAGGGAAGGGAGGGAGGTGAGGGGGGAGAGAGAGAAACATTGATGTGAGAGAGACACATTGATTGGTTTCCTCCTGCACGCGCCCTGACCAGGTCTGGGGATTGAACCTGCAACCCACGTATGTGCCCTTGACTGGGAATTGAACCCGAGACCCTTCGGTGTACAGGCCGATGCTCCGTGCACTGAGCCATACCGGCCAAGGCTGCTTTTCTTGAATTTTAATGGCAGTTCTTGCCTGTCAATCTAATTTAAACAGCTAAGTATCATATAACTCTACACTGTTGTGTCAGAATTATTACTTATTTAAAATTACATTGAGTAGTTTATTATGGCTCAACATTTTGTATTCTGGGTTTCTACTTAATGGCTTAGGGTAACCTCTCAATACCTCCTTTTCCTCATCTGCAAAGTGGTGCTAATACTTGCCCAAGTTAATGATGTGATGTTTATAAAGCTGCTAAGCCATTATTAGCTGTCATTACTTCCTTTCTGGGGTAGAGTTTTTAAGAACTAACTTAGAGATACTAGAATAAGAGGGATTCTCTTTGAAGTATGAGCGAAATCAAACATGAATGAATGGAAATAATTATTCTAAAGTTACATGACTTCATAACGAGATGGCAAAGGCAACATAGCAATTCTCTACGTGGGGAATATGATCTTTGAAGAAAAGTATTTGTATGGGAGGTACAGCAAGAGGTAATAAAATAGAGAACAAAATTATTTTGAAAAGGAACTATAAGAATAAATGATCCAGGTCCATAAAAATGTGACCTTTTTATTTATAATTACACGTTTAAAGATCAAAAATACTATACATTAGTGTTTTTGTTTATCACTTTTCATGTATAGTGTTTTCATTTATAACTTGGCAGTTTCTGCCCACAGCTTCACTTCCAGCCGTGGAGCTGCACGTTGCACAGGCCAGGGTACAAATGACACCTGGGTCAAATGACACCTGGGTCATGCGGCACCTTTCTCCTCTCATCCCCCCTGCCCTGTTTATTTTTTATTTTTTTCAGTTTTGAGCAATGTTTTTTTAAACTTTGCATAATGGAAGATGAAAGATTAGTCCCCTGTCCCCTTCCAGCCCAGCTACACACATTCATGTGTGCTTGTGTGCTTGCTTTCACGTTCTCTCTCTTATACACACACACTCACTCTCTCTCTCTTTTTCTATCTTTTTCCAGTATTGTTCTATTATAATTTTTGGTTGACCAGTATTTATTGTTTGTATTATAGTTATGTAAACACTCTTTATAACTCAAGTGGTGTATACTATTTTTTTCTTTTTGGTACAATTTCTTGTATTGTCTTATATTTTTAGTTTCATTTATCTGCTTCATTAATTTAATTCTAAGTTTTCTCCAGGCTGTGTAAATCTCCTGGCTGTCAAAAATTTTAAACATACTAGTATTTTACCAATTATACATTTGTAAATAACTCTCTCTGAAGGCCTTCTGACTTACCTCTCAACCCTTCTCCTGTAAGGGTTCACACCAATACTGACAATATTTGTGTAGCACAGAGTGGGGTGAATAGTTGAGCATGCTTGGGGCCAGAGATGTCTCAGACGCTCCAGTGGCCTCAACTCCTACCAGTCAGCCTTGGGTTAGCACATTCAAACCTACATATACCCATAACCCATTCAAGACAAACCTCAGTGTCTTTTGGTACATTAGTTAGGAAACTATGGTCCAGGGGATTCCTTTTACATTTTTCTTCTGATGGATCCTCTTTTTCCTGAACTCCCTGTCTCCCTTTTATTTCTTCATTTTGGTAAAAGCATATATTCTAGAAGTTATTTACTATTATAGATACTCTCTGCCATTATAATGGTAGCTTGCAGATATGTTTTATTTTTTAAAATTTAAATTAGTTGCTACCAAAATTTAAAAGACTTGATTTCAACTATTGAGAAGATGCAGAACAATTGGACCTTTGATACACTTCTTGTTGAATACATTGAGAAACGACATTCCTGAAAATGTCTATATTCTGTGGTCACTCATGCTTGCTAGTTTAGCTGGGTATAGAATTCTAAATTGTCTCAACAATTTGAAGGCATTGTTCAGTTTTTCTTGTCATGGATCTATCTTGATCTGTTGTGCTGGATGGACACTCATTTTGGGCCCCTTTTAGTATGAAAAAAACATGTCTGTTTGGGAAATGTTCTTGTTTTATGTCTTTGATTTTCTCATATTTGTTTTCTCCTTGTTTCTCTCAACTTTTGTTTTATATATTGGCTCTTCTATGCTGGTCCTCTAACTGTCTTATTTCTGCTTTTGTCTGCATTTTGTTCTATTTTCTGAGTGTTTTTTTTCTAAGCTTTGTCTTGCAGTCCTGCTATATTGAATTTCTGTTGATACATTTTTAATTTACAAGGTATCCCATTTTTCTCCATTCTTTCTAAAAAACATGTATCCTGTTCTTGCAGTATCTCTTTTAATCTCTGAGGCTATCAGTGATTTAAAAAAAATTTTTTTTTCCTCAAGTTGCTTTGTTTTCCTTTTGATCTTTTACTTTTATATTAGAACTTTTTCTCCACTTTCTGATTATCTTGGTTGCTCCTCATATTTAAGTGAGTGGCTCTTTAAAAAGAAGAAAAATCTAACTGGAACTTCTGTTTACCTAGATGAGGCTTGTTGACTAGGGCTCATCCAAGGTAATTAGGATAGGCTCTCTAATTATTAATATTATTTTAAGTAAAATCTTAGTACTGTTATTTTAGTTTTTTTTTTTTTTTTATCTTGATCTGTTTATATTGTCCTGGAAAACTTTCTTTAGACTCTTACGTGGTGAATGGGAACTTGGCCATCACTATCCTGGGAGCTGAGTTAGGGGAAGAAGGCAGGAGTCTCACCCCAGCCTTCAGAATACATAGATCAGCAATCCCCCTATTTTTGGTACATTATTCACCATACTCAATTCTTCCTGAGATTCTTCAGTCTAGAGGTATTCTGCCCTCCACCCCCCGAGCATAAATCTGCATTCCAAGGTGAAGGAGGATAGTCTTTTGGTAGTTAGAATTGAGAGGAGATCTGAACGCCTAACATCTCTTCAAACAACTTTCAAGCAGTCTTCCTGTTTTGCACCTCACGTTCACAGTGCATTTCCAGGGGAACTTGCTGCAGCCACTTTCTGAGCCCTTTGGCATATCTGTGATAGAAATCAGGTTGTTTCTGGTCCTCCCATTGGAAGCTTAACATTCAGCCTTCTCAGGTCTTTGAGTCCGTTCCCGTGGTGCTCCTGTTCTCCAGCATCTGGGTGTTACTGGTGGTGGTGTGCATTTTACACCATAAACAATCTGTGCACTCTTGTTTTAGAGAGATTTTAGGAAGGAAGAGAAAAGGAAATAAGTCACATTTAATCTGTTGTCTGTATTAGTAGATCCTCAATAGTTGGTTCAAATCTTGTCCACTTTTCATAATTGAGATTAATATTTTATATTATGACTTGCATATTTAAAAATAAAATTTTAAATGTATAACAAATATAAAAACAAATGCGGCCTAAATCAATAATTTTTTTTTTTTTTTGAAATGTTGCTCCTGTTTTTGACTTGAACGATTAGAAGTAAAAATCCATCAATTTTTTCTCCATGGAAAATGGAGATCATTTTAGCAATGGTATATTTTCTTTTGAACTGTATTGAATGTTTTGGAGTATCATCATTTTTTAAAATATATTTTTCTGTATTGATTGGAGAGAGAGAGGAAGGGACAGGGAGAGATAGAAGCATTGATGAGAGAGAACATCAGTCAGCCGGCTCCCACATGCCCCCCACTGGGAACTGGGCCTACAACCTGGGCATGTGCCTTCCTTGACCAGGAATCGAACTAGTGACCCCTTGGTGCATGGGTCAATGCTCAACCACTGAGCCACACTGGCCGGGCTGGTATATCAACCTTTTGTATAATAACGTGGTAAGGCATAAAATTGAAGGAGTAAACATAAATGAGTCATGATTATTGTTACTATAACTCTCTTATGCCTTACAGGAAACTGAGATAGTTTTATAAAAAGACAAACTTTTAACTTCCTTAGCTGGTGATTATATGCAGTCTGTTGTGTTTTTTAATCCTGAAAGTCAACATACCACTACTGGGCAATATAATTTTGTGTCTGTGCTCGTTTTGTAGGAGACCTACAACACGACTCTGAACGGGAAGGACACAGTTCATCACTGGACCTGGACCTCAGACATGCCCTTGGAGTGTACCACTCACTCTGTGGGACTTCGATGCTACATTGATGATCCTCATTTCTCTGGTCACAAAGAGTGGAGTGACTGGAGCCCCCTGAAGAACATTTCGTGTAAGTTTAAAGCGTTTTTTTCAAGTGAATGGGATTAACCTTGCTTAAGGATAAGATAGAGTTTAAGCTTTCATTTCTCAGAACCCCATTTGTCTGCATGAGGGTCACCTGGGATCTTCTGAGTTCCCCATCCCAGTATGTTTTGATTCAGAAAGTCTGAGATAGGCTTCAGGAATCTATATATTTTTAAATCATTATTTTAAAAATATATTTTTATTGATTTTGAGAGAGAGGAAGGGAGAAGAAGAAAGATAGAAACATCGATGTGAGAGAACAGTTGATCAGCTGCCTCCTGCACGCCCCCTACTAGAATTCAAGCCCACAACCCGGGCATGTGCCCTGACCAGGAATCCACCAGCAACCTCTTGGCACATGAGTCGATGCTCAACCACTGAGCCACACTGGCCAAGCAATTATTATTATTGTTAATCCTCACTCAAGGTTATGTTTTTACTGATTTTAGAGATAGAGGAAAAGAGAAGGGGGGAGAGAGAGAGAAACATCGATGTAGAAGAGAAACATCGACCAGTTTCTCAGGTACGCACCTCATCTGGGGATTAAACTCACAACCTGGGTCTGTGCCCTGACCAGGAATTGAACCTACAACCTTTCAGTGTATAGGATGGCGTTCCAACCACTGAACCACACTAGTCAGGGCAGGAATCTATGTTTTTAAAGAACTTCCTGGGTGACTGGATAAACATCCAGGTTTGAAGATCACTGTGGTAGACATTGAAAAGCCTGTAACATTTTTGTGTAGGTAGTAATGAGATCAAGTCAGTATTTCTTTTTTTAAAAAAGCTCCCAATTTCTCATCCACAGAGCAGACCCCCGTGAGCTAAAGTTTTTGCAGAGACATGGGAATCTGCAAATATGCCCCAGATCAGCAGTACATTGAACAACACGCATGTGCAGGTAGAATGCGGGCAATATGGGAGAGGGCCTAGCAAATTACTGACAACAGAATGAAGTTCTTAGAAAGACTGCTGGTCATCGTAGATCATTCGTGTGAATGACCATCTGGAGAAATGGATCCGAGGAAGGAAGGACTGGAAATAGGTGGATCAATAAGGAGAATCTCGTGGCAGTTTGGCAAAAGACAGTGACAGGACCCTGGGCTTGGAAATGAGGGGGGACGTTTGCAAACGCTGAGGAGACTGGATGAGAATTGGGGACCGTGCTTTTGGTGAGGGAGGGACAGAGCCAGCGATGACGGCTAGTCTGGGCAGCTGGTGCTGCTCCCCCCGAGACAGGAAATGCACGGACACGTGGGGTGGGAGAAGCCCGTCTCACTTGCAGTGCATTGAGCTTGAGAGAGCGCGAAGCGTCTGGATAGCAAGGGCTCAGGCAGCTGGAAAGGCGGGCTGGCCGTCCACCTGATGCGCTGCAGCTGGAGAGAATGAGGAGGCTCATCAGCCTGTGTGTGATGTGCAGAAGTTAAATCCTGAGGTTGCCGTTAACTCAGGGAAAGGGAAATGGGGACCCAGGACCCGGCCCTTGGTCGCTTCATGCCCGAGGGGAAGATGGAAGAGAGACCCGCAAAGCCACCAGCCACCAGCGCGTCAGCCCGGCAGGGTGCGGCGAGGGACCCCAAGCACGGAGGGCACTGCCAGCAGGAGGACCTTAGGCAGCCCGCCAGGTCTGTGGGAGTCCGAGGGGCCGGTGACACAGAGGTGGCCGCTGGACTGAGCCTTCGGCCAGCGCCCTCCCGTGGAGCGGTGGGGACGGAAGCCACGCTGCAGTGTGCGAAGGGGCATTTGACACGGGCTGTTCGGGAGAAAGAAACCAAAGGTGTGGCGCCAAGAGGCAGAGTAGGTTAAAGAAAACGTGCTGCCCTGGCGGCGTGGCTCAGCGGTTGGAGCATCCGCCCACGGACCAAGGTCGCAGGTTCAATTCCGGTCAAGGGCACGTACCTGGGTCCGGTCCCCCGCCTTGTCGGGGTCATGTGGGAGGCAACCAGTCGATGTGTTTCTCTCTCCCCCCAACCCCCCGCTCTGTCTGAAGATGAATGGAAAAATATCCCTGGGTGAGGATTTTAAAAAAAGAAAAGAAAAGGTTGCTCTTTGGGGTGTGGAGTACTCAAACGTATATTTAGGCTGAAAGGAAGGAGTCGGCCCGAAATACATAGCTCCGTTTCAGAGGCGTGGAAGTAACGAGGCACTTTTCACACGTGGATGAAACCATTTATTGAGCTTTGGCTCTTCTTAGACATTGACCTACAGCCCCCTCATGGCCCACCCTCACCCCACCATGAGTACAACCTCGCACACCTCATTCCATGTGCATGCCTTGCTCCTTTCAACCCTGGAGGACATGCCTGATCTTCGGCCACCATTAGCACAAAGTCCCCCAAGTGCATTTTGTATGCACCGGGCTACTTTATGGTAAAGACTTCTGAAGTACTTGTCATTCCCTTTGCTCTTTCTAGGGTCTGCTGCTTCTCCGGCTAAGGTTTTTCCTCAAGACAAAGTGATACCTGTGGGCTCAGATATAACGTTTTGTTTGGTGACCCAGGAAATAGTGTCAGTAGCTCACATCGGCAGAACCGAGTGTCCCCTTATCCATCTCGATGGGGAAAACGTCGCAATCAAGATCCGTAACATTTCTGTGTCTGAAAACAGTGGAACAAATGTGGTTTTTACAACAAATGTAAACATCTATGGGACAGTTATTTTTGCAGGATGTAAGTATAAAATACATGTTTGCAAACAGTTTCTATTAATTCGTTTTTGCCCCCCCCAAAAGCCTTACTTCTTTTTGGGGGAGGTGGGAGGTGATTCTAATTTTTTTATTCTTTAATATAAATGATATAAAAAGCACCAACATGTCCACTTGTTTAAAGGTGAGATATAAGCTTGTTTTCTACATACATGTATTTATGTAACTTGTAGACTTTGAAATAAGACTTAAACATTCAGCTACTGAAACTTTTAGTTTAAATTCCAAGTTAATGGGTTTATTGAATGAAAGGATATTAGTATATAATATCTCCGAATCCTGCATTGTTTAAGAATTATTTCATATAATTTCATTTCCCATCTAATTATAGTATACCTTTTTAAAATAAGTACCCGAATTAAAGAAATTGTAAAGGTATTGTGCAAAATCTTCCAGTAGTATACTGTTTGTTGCTCCAGCTTTAAAAAGAATACAGTCAGCCCTCATTTATCAGGGTTAATCAGTTCCGGAGTCTACCGCGATAAAGGAATTTCCACGAAGTAGGATTCTTTATTTATCACAGTCCCTGCCACTTCGCGCCCCCCTTTCATGGCTTCACTCCATCGCGGTTTTTTCAAATGCTGTATTGTACTGTACTATACTGTACTGTACTATACTATACTGTACTGTATTTGAGAAAACCGCGATGGAGTGAAGCCGCGATGGTCGAAGCGCGAAGTGGCGAGGGACGACTGTACATTTGAGAAGAGGGTAGTCGGAGGACTGGGGTGAGCAGACATCTCTCACCGAGTCGTGGATGTGCTGTACCCTGGAGCATGGGGGCGTCTTTCTTCATGTGGTTGCTCCTTCGGGTCTGAAATGCCACACAGACTGGAGGCGGCTGTGGGGGACTGCAGACCTGCACGTCTGTGTTGGATGTACACAGATGAGGTAGCATGTGCCTTCCCCATCCCTCCCCTGTGGTCATCCGATGCGGTGCAGAGACGGCCCCCCGAGTTCTGTGGTACGGGGCTCCAGGTGCAGTCGAAGGGTCTGCTCAAGTGAAGGGTGTGAAATGTAGTGAGTGGGTTTTGTGGCTTTTCTTTGATGGCTTCGTGAATTCCTTGCTCTGTGCTCCGGGGTCGGCAGCCCTCAGTCTTTCTCACTCCATAGCAACTTAGGATGAATTACATTCGGTTCCTGATCTGCTTCCAAGGGAGTCAGCTGGACGGCTGTAACCTTACTCTTTTTGCCTCTCCAGTAGTGCATTGTGGAATTCAAGTGAGGGTGAGGTTATGTCTAAACAGAAGTTCCAGAAAATTGCATTTTCTTTCCTGATGGTAGAATAGGGAATGACTTCCCATCCACTTTGAGAGCCAGAGGTATGTTGAGTACATCTGCTTGATGTCTGACCCAGAAAGTGAGATAGATAGTGACTTAAAAGTATGAAAGAAGCAAATGAAAATGTAAAAGATGAGAAATTCACAGGTGTTATTATTTCAGTGTTCTAATCTTTTATCATAGTTCTAGAACAAACTCATTTATTTCCTCATTTAACCTTCACTTGTAGGTTGAAATATTGCTCAATGTTTGTGCACTCAGAAGCAGCTGTGGAATTTCCCTTTGGAGGGAGCCCTTTAGAAAATTACAGCCGGGGAAGTTAATGGTGTGAGTGAGGGGTCAAGGTGCATTCATTCTCTTCCCCCTGCGGGGTTCCTGTTAACCCATAGTTCATTGAAAAGCCTGAGACAAATTTTGGAATCAACCTGTCAGCTTCAAAACCTGCCAAGATTTTGGGGTCGATTACATTAAATCTATCAATTTAGGAAAATTTTCTTACGCTATTGAGTCATTCAAACCAAGAGCATGGTACATGCATCCCTCCATGTAGTTAGGTCTCCTTTAATTTATCTTAGTGATATGAGGGCTTGTATATCTTTTAATAAGTTTGTCCTACACGTTTGATGTTTATGCCAATGAAAATGGCTCTTTTTCTTCTCCAGCTTATTCTTGTAATTGAAAATTTATCATCCAGCGGACAGAATAGTTACTTACCAACACCTGTCAGCGTTCATGCATGAACTAATTTAGTCATAGCAAAATAGGTGTTTTGTGAACATTATTTGTTCAGTAATCATTCAAATGAGTTATTTTCATCGGTAGTGCCACCGAAGCATTACATAGTGACCCAGATGTTAATCTCTCACCATACTTACGATATTTAAAGTAATGCCCTGTGATGTGGGACTAGAGCATGTAAACATTGTATCATATGTCAAGTTTTATACTCTCATTTGAAAACATTTTCATAAAAATGGCTTTGACTTTTAAATTGCACTTTGTTTGCTGGCACATAGAAATACAGTTGACTTGTTCCCGGCTTGCCAGCCGCACTTGGTTCTCCGTAAGTTCATTTCTTTGAAAAGAAAACAAGTCGGTACATTAACTTGTAAATACTGCCCTCATATTTCTCTTCTTTCTCTCTGCTCCCACTCTTTCTGGTTCGCTCCTGTTAGTTGGACTTTTAAGTATTTCAACTTAATATAGCTGCCAAGTACAGAAATAATCAGCATTTTAAATATACTAAACATTTTGGTATGTCATTCTGATAGACTGAGAGGTTAGCCTTAGATTTAAAACAATTTTCAAGGCAAGTATGCCATTGTTAGTTTAATTATCCAGTTGTTGAACTTTGATATAAATACTCATTTCTCCTCCTGACATTACCTAAAATGTCACTGAAGGGCACTGTTCTTATCTCTGGAACAGGCATGAGAAATTTCCTAAGTCTTGGTTGATAAACTAAGAACTATTTTAAAATTTTAGTTGTTTTAAAATAAGATTATGCCCTGGCCGGTTTGGCTCAGCGGTTAGAGCGTCGGCCTGTGGACCAGAGAGACCTGGGTTCAGTTCCCGCTAAGGCCACATACCTCGGTTGCAGTTTGTCCCCAGCCCTGGTTGGGTTGTGTGGGTGGCAGCCACTTGATGTGTCCCTTTCACGTCGATGTTTCTCTCTCTCCCTCCCACTCTATCTGAACAAAAAATGGAAAAATGTCCTCGAGTGAGGATAAAAAATAAAATAAAATAAGATTATTTTCCCGAATTTTTCAACAAATAATTGTTTTTTTTAAAAGCTTACTTTCAGTGACAGATAGTTTGGATAAATGTCACAGTAGGAAATATCAGTTTCTGTGTTTGTTTGATTAAACATAATCATAGAAATACCAATTTTTATAATGCAGAATTTTCCCCTTATCCCTTTAAAGGTCTCAGACACACTAAAGAAACCACTTTTTTTTCTGTCTTTGTAGTCCTGCCTGAACAAAGCCAGAGACAATAGTTTCAATAAAAAAAACTAAAATGGCCCTGGCCGGTTTGGCTCAGCAGTTAAGAGTGTTGGCCTGTGGACCAGAGAGACCCGGGTTCGGTTCCCGTTAAGGGCATGTGCCTCAGTTGCAGTTTGTCCCCGGCCCTGGTTGGGTTGTTTGGGTGGCAGCCACTCGATGTGTCCCTGTCACGTTGATGTTTCTCTCTCTCTTCCTCTCTCTCCCTTTCACTCTATCTGAACAAAAGAAAGGGAAAATGTCCTCAGGTGAGGATAAAGAAAAGAAAACGACAGAAGAGCTGTATTCACTTTGAATATAGGGAAATGTAGAATTTTACAGAGAGTCACTTTGTAAATAATAGTCTGTAACTTATTTAAGAATTCCAGAACTCGTAACATGACTCATGTTGACTTTTAATATGCTTTAGTACTTCTTTTCAAATCATATATGTAGTTGATCAATAACAATATGTTTAACCTGTAGATTTTTCTAACTTATTGGACATACCCTCCTTTGAGAGATTTGGTAGACTCAAATAGTATTTAAGGGGGAAAAATGAGAGTTGGTATGTTTGGGTTGTTAGTGGGATGTTTTCAAATGATCTAATAGTCACTCTTCAGTATATTTTAATCCATCATTTCTTTTTCTGGTGCACCGTTCCCGGAGGTACTACAGTACCAGGTCGGTGTGTGGAGTGGACCAAGAAATCTCTCCTATTTCGTCTCCTTGCTCCAAAAATCCATTCAATACATTGTCCTCGGGTAGCGTACGTGTCAGATATTAAACTGATAAGAACAGATACTGCAGTCTGTCCTTTCTAATGTAATATGAACTCCAAAACATGCTGTGAAAAGAATCGTAATCCCAGCATTGTTCAAAAAGTAAAATATAAACTGCATTATTTCATTTAAGGAAATTGTGCAAAATGTAATTCACATATCTGAAACAGCATTTTCAGGAAACATCGATGTTAAAATAAGTAAATACATTTTTTCTTTCTTTCTCCTTTTAGATCCACCTGATATTCCTCAAAAACTAAATTGTGAGACATACGACCTAAAAGAGATCATCTGTACTTGGGGCCCTGGAAGACCGACAGCATTGGTGGGTCCACGAAGTACAAGTTACACGTTGTTTGAAAGGTAAAGGTCACCAGGAGAAGTCAGACTCAGGCAGCAAGGAGTCCCTTAGAAGGACGGTACATGATACAGCGAAATGCTCTCTGTCATACACTATGAACGAGATGTAAAAGCAAACATGCGGTAAAATTGGCTGCGCTGTCAGTGCTGCCGCGGAATGCACGCAGACTCGACTTGTCTCCTTTTCCCGCAGCCTGGGAGGAGGGACCCTCAAATATGAGCAGACTGTTTTCTGGTAGTGGGCTTATGGCTGATTATTTTCTTCTGTTTACTGCTATTGTATACATGTTCTTTTCCGAGTGTGTAGTACATCTATAATTAGGAATATAAGTACTCTGAAAACATTAATTATTAGAAATTTACCCACTCGTTCCCTTTTCTTCTCTGTACTATTTCTTGCCATTTTGATATATTTTTTAACTTAAAAAAAAAAATTTAATTAAATCCTCACCTAAGGATATTTTTCAGTTTATCTTCAGATAGAGTAGGAGGAGGAGAGAGAGAGAGAGAGAAACATTGACATGAGAGAGAGACACGACTAGTTGCCTCCTGCATGACCCCGACCAGAGCCAGGGACCAAACTGCAAATGAGATATGTGCCCTTGACCAGAGTCAAACCCATGACTCTGGTTCGTGGGCTGACGCTCTACCACTGAGCCAAACTGGCCAGGGCTTTTTAAAACTTTTTTGATTGATTGATTTTAGAGAGAGAGGGGCCAGAGATAGAAACATTGATTTTATTTTTCCACTTAATGCATTCATTGGCCGATTCTTGTGTGTGCCTTGACCAGGGCTCGAACCCGTAACCTTTGTGCATCTGAACAATGCTCCAACCAACTGAGCTCTCTGGCCAGGGCTTGATATTATTTTAATATTCCTTATTCCTTTCTTAATTTGCAGTTTTTCAGGAGAACATGTTAAATTTGAAGGAGTTGAAGCACCTATAAATGAAAGCTATCAGTTATTATTTCAGATGCTTCCAAATCAAGAAATATATGACTTTACTTTGAAAGCTCACAATGCCCTGGGCCGATCGGAGTCAACAGTCTTAGTGAATGTGACTGAAAAAGGTGAGCTGCTGCATAAGCCAGTGTCGTAAGTACCTTCGGACGTGGTGAGATGTCTTGACGTTAAAGAAAAGTCTATCTAGGGAGCACCTTTTACTGATTCTTTTTTTTTATCCTCACCTGAGGACATTTTTGCATTTATCTTCAGATAGAGTGGGAGGGAGAGGGGGGAAGAGAGAGAGAAACATCGATGTGAGAGAGACACATCTACTGGCTGCCACCCACAGGATCCCAACCGGGGCCGGGGACAAACTGCAACTGAGGTACATGCCTTTAGCGGGAACCGAACCCGGGTCTCTTCGTTCTGCAGGCCGACGCTCTAACCACTGAGCCAAACTGGCCAGGGCTGGTTATTTTCTTTATAATTACTTAATATTAATCTTGTAACTTACTTTAAACACTTTAAAATATGTAATTTCAAGTTTCACTGTTTTATTAAATCCAGGTAAAAATTTGAATGAATCATTTCATTCGCACAGAAACTGTCAAGGGCTGTATCTAATAATAGTCTTTGATTTCTGAAAAAATATTGCCCAATATTTAAAGACTTTTATTTTGAAACAGTTGTAGGTGGTTGCAAAAAATAATAAATTAAGAGTCCGGTGACCTCTTCATCTGGCTTTTCCCAATGGTAACATCTTACATTACTGTAGTACAATATCCAAATTAGGCAGTTGATCTTGGTACAATACTGCGAACCACACTACTGACCTTGCTCACTTTTCACCAGTATTTATATGCATTCAATTATGTGTGTGTGTATGTATTCTGTATATATGTGCATGTATGTATATATGTGCATGTATGTAGTTCTGTGCAATCAGATTATGTTGGGATTCATGGAACCTAAGATCCAGGAGTGCTCTTTCACAAAGGAACGTCCTCATGCTGTCCCTTTAACAACCCCCACCACCACCACCACACACACACTTTCACATTTCTGTCCCTGGGCAACAACAGGTCTGTTCTTTACCTCTCTTTTGTCATTTTGAGCATGTTATATACATGCTCAAATGGCAGTTGTACAGTATACAACCTCTGGAGGTTGACCTTTGTTTTCTAATATCCTTGAGATCCATCCAAGTTGTTGTATGGATCAATAAATAGTTCATTTCTTTTTATTGCTGATGATTTCTTAATTTTTACCAATCCTATTCATGTATAGCTCAAAATAGAGGTAAGAGATGGTCCGGCATTCTGGCCTTCATTTCTGCGGTGGTTCCGTGTGCGGTCAGCCCTGTGCCGGGCTCTGCTGCACGAGAGACTCAGAGTCAGGGGAGCAGGGGCACAGACCACGTGCACTGTGACACGCCAGCAGGTGATGAGCAGATGCGCCTGCTGCCGTGTCTGTTACATGGAGACCACTTTCACCAGTTATGTCTTCCCATGGTCTTTGTTATTTCCTCCTTTTACCTAAGGACAGAATGGCTACATTTTCTGCTTGAGGGGCAGCGTTTGTATGTACGTGTCTGTCCTCTGACATTTCAACCTTATTTACTACATGATTCTTTCCCACCCCTCAAACTGGTGGTGCACTATCACCATGTAACATGCACCCCCAACCTGAAGTGCTTTTCTGTATGCGTTCTGCCGATTTATTCTGATTCTTCTTTCAAAGCTCATCTTAAGTCCTGTCTTCATGGTAGGATTCTCCTTACTGTGTTTATACCTGTATTCCTGTAGCCCTTAATATGTGTGCCACACATTTGGAGCTTAGCATATATATCTGGTTCATTTCCTGTGTGTGTGTGTGAGATTCCCCCAAGTAAATTAGGGGTTCCTTACAGGTCCAGACTATGCTCTCACTACCCTTCCTGATAGCAGTTGAGGGACTTGGAGGGTGACTGATTCTTTTAAAATGTTGGCCCGTTTTCGGCAGTAGCGTGAGATTTGTGTGTTCCAAAACACCGAGTAGAAGATTGTGGGTCAGCACTTACAATGCCCCTCTTGTTTTTTATTTTCTTTGATTCTCATATGTCATATTAGAAAATAGCTTTTAAAGTAATTAATCTTTAAAAATTACATTTGCAGTTTATCCCCATACTCCTACTTCAGTCAAAGTGAAGGATATTAACTCAACAGCGGTTACACTGTCCTGGCATTTACCAGGCAACTTTGCAAAGATTAAACTGTTGTGTCAAGTTGAAATTAACAAAGCTAATTCAGTGCAAGAATTGGTGAGTAAGATTTCGTCTGCAAACATCTTTAGAGGGTATTTTGGATAAAAGACAGTTTTCAAAAATAACTAAGTAGATTTACATGCATAAACTCTGATTATTATAGAGATTTACTAGGAACCAAGATAGTCTATCTGAATGTAACAACAGCATTGTGTTTGGCACTTGAAAACAGTATAACACTGGGTGGTGTGGAACCTAAGTTTGACTTGACTGCTCAGGCTGTTTCCAGGTCTAGGGTCGTCCCTGGCGTGTAGCTGGTGCTCAGTAAATTTGTGGATTAGCAAGTCGTCTCTGCTGCAGCCTTTAGCCTCAGATAATGGACTAATTGGCACCAGAGAGAAGATGTGATTTTTAAAACCACTAAGTGCAGCCGCAGGAGCAAGTTATAATTGGTTATTATAAGTCAAAACATGACTTTTTAATACATTTTAAATACGTAGGTTGACTTTTATACTGCACCATCTTGTAATTTGTGGTAAGTGCAAAATAAATGTTATCATGCTTAAATATTCATTTGGAAACTTACTGATGATTTCTAGAGTATCAATCGCACTGCAAAATGTAACTCCAAAAGCTCCCTCGTAGTGACCAGTTGGAAGCATGCAGGCTTTCCCGAGGTGGCAGGTCCTCGGATTGTTTTGAATTGCTTCATTTTAATTGTATTTTGTTTAAATGTTTGTTGACTAGTCCGCATGTTTAAGCACCCTATGAGAGGTACTCGGTGCCATGTGAAAAGCAGGTCTAAGGGGAGGCCTGCTTCCAGCGTCATTGAATAATACATGTAATCCTCAAGGTCACCTAGGTTACTCAGCCTGACTAAGCTTTACTGCTTCACCATTAGCGCTGACTGAGCACCACATTTATATTCTCCTTTCTGCATAATTTAATTGACTGTTATTCATTACATTCAGTATTTGGATTAAAAAGACACCTCAGTTTTATTTATTACTATTGCAGAGTTTAACTTCACTGATTTGGCATTTCTACAAGAATTCAAATGTTATAGGGGATGAACTGTCTTTGATCTTATAGAGGCAAACTTGTGGGCATTCAGTCAATTTATGTTACAAATTTGGGAGTCTTTCTTATTTTAAAAAAGTAGGTGTATACCTGTGTGTGTATGTACTCATACACGCGTGGCATCTCACCTGCACGTATTAATTTGTTTTCTAACAGCGGAATGTCACAATCAGAGGGGTAGACAATTCAAATTACCTCATTGCCGTGGACAAGTTAAATCCATATACTGTGTATACTTTTCGGATTCGTTGTTCTAGTGAAACTTTCTGGAAATGGAGCAAATGGAGCAATGAAAAACAGTACTTAACCACAGAGGCCAGTAAGTTCACTAAATGATTTATGATTAACTGTTACTATGGATCCTGAAATTGTACGACCATTTTTGGAGGAAACATCACCGAAGTAACTAAAAGCAGGAGAATGCTTAGACAAATTATATAATATTATAATACCTGCTAGTGAAATATTATACAGACATTAAATGACGGTTTTAAAGTTTCGTTACACTCTGGGGAAGCCGGCCTGTGCAGGGTGAGGCTGCCCTGTCTGCAGCGTCTGTGTGTTAAAGTGGTGCGTGGGAAACCCAGCTGGGACCGGCTAAGAGCATGGGGTGACCTTTCCCTCACTCTTTCCTTTTTCACCTGGACGTTCCATAATCTATTTAGATTGCCTTTTTAATTCAGGGCTATTATTAATGAAGAGAAGTTGTTGGAATTTTTATTTCCGACCTGGGCCTGAGAAATGGATGGGGCTGAAGGTCTTGAACTTCAGTTTCTACGGTGCCCCTAGAGCAAAAGAGCTGGAAAATCAGCTGACTGGTTTCCTGAGGATAATTTCCAAAGGCAGAATAAGGTTCTAGCTTTGATTAATCAGATGTCGGCTTTAAAGCAGAAAATGGAAATAGGTGTGATTTTCAGGAATCGTTCATCAAAAGATGGCAAATTCTTTCTTTGCATTAAGTATTATAGAGAGTATGAAACTTCTCCCCCCACATTTAACAAACAGTAAAACAAAAAGTGATAAATGTTAATCTGGATGTTGTCCTTCTACACGAAGACTGGAGAGAGGAGAGGAGAGGCACTTTGCAATATGTGTAAGAACGACTGAATCATCAGAAATGATTCCTGTGCGCGAGGCCAGACAAGGAGTATATTAGTTATCTGTTGCTGTGTGACCAGTTGCCAAAACTCGGTGCTTTAAAACAGCAGATGTTCATCATCTCACAGTGAGGGTCTGTGGGTCAGAAACTCGGGAGCAGCTCAGCTGAGCGGCTCTGGCCGAGCGTCTGTCCTGAGGCCAGCTGCCCGCTGGGGTGGGGGCTGCAGGCTTGATGGGGGCCGGAGGGTCTGCCCCGCGATGGGCCTCTCCCAGGGCTGCAGGCCAGAGCGCTCTGCTCTTCTCGCAGGGCGCCCGGGTGTCCGCAGAGCGTGGCGGCCAGCTCCTGCCTCCACAGTGTCTTTATGACCTGGCCTCAGATGGGACATACCTCCTGTCTGCCGTACCCTCGGTCACACCGCCAACCCTGATCCAGTGTGGGCGGGGGCCGCCCGAGGGCAGGAACAGCAGGAGGTGTGACCAATGTCATCAGTTTGGAGACCTACCCCCCAGGGCTTTGCTTTCAGTGGATGAGCTGTTGTAACCAAAGGAAAGGAACATTGTGTTCATACCTCATTAAGATGAAGGTATTAATCACTGGAATGCTTACGGAGTACCACCATGTGTCAGGAATTGCTCTGGTCACCAGGGACAGAGCAGCGAATGAGACAGCAAGTACTGCCCGCGGAGTTTATAGGACAGAGGGTTTCCAGTCATTACTTTGTGTTATATATTGTGTCGGGTGGCAGCAAGTGCCACAGAGGAAAATGCATCCTAGAAAGGGGGCTGGGGGGGAAGGCTGGGTGGCGGGCTCGGGAGTTGCCATTGTAAACAGGGCAGTTGGATGGGACCTCACTAAGAAGGTAGCACTTGAGCTGAGATAGAAAGGAGGCGAGGAAGCCGGGTGGTTGGTTTATTCAGGGGAAGGGAGTTGTGGGCAGAGGAGGGAGAAGCTGAGAAAGTACAGAGAGCCTGGGCAGGTGTCCACGTGTCTGAGGAGCAGCCAGGCCAGTGTGGCCAGACCCACTTGATGAGAACGGAGCATGTGAGGCAGAGAGGACCTCAGACCATCTCTCAGCCCGGAGGGTGGTTTGGGCCCATTCTGGAGGGTCTTGTGTTTTGTAGCCGTGCAGAGCTTTTCCTCACTTCACGTTCCACGTGGAGGCCACTAAGTGCTTCACGTTTTATTGAGAATTCCAGCAACCTGGGGGAAGCCCACACACCACCATCTCAGTTCCTGACGTTGTCAACTGACGTAGGCACACAGTGTCCAGCACTAACTGCTCACCTCTCTTCCCAGTTCCTTCGAAGGGACCAGACACCTGGAGAGAGTGGCGTTCCGACGGGAAAAATCTAATAATATATTGGAAGGTAAATATCTAATGCCTCCTCGAATATTTGCATAACTTGGTTATGGTAAACTACTGAACTTACATGTGGTACTTGGGTTAGGAAGAGTGTGCATGTCTCAGACTTGCGCGGTTGCTGAGAAGGTAACCAGCTCCTAAAACCCCGGGCCCCTCCCCGCTGCTGTGCCCACCACTGCATGAGGCCCTCTCAGCTCTCAGCACTCGTGCTTTGATTTTATGAGGCCTGCAAAGGACCCGAGGAATTCATAGACAGTCCTCCTCACGCTAGTCAGAAACAAAGCCGGGGCTCCGAGTTAGACTCCTGACTACGTTACATGTTTTCCCCCCAATGAATAGGAAACCCAACTTTTTATATATGTTACGTACAATTTGTTTTCCTTAAATAAATCGCATTATCATGACAATTGTAGTTTTGTAAAATTTTAGATGAAATATGAATCACATTATAGTTTACTGTTTTTCCCTAGTAGAGCAAACATTTTTTTATCTGCTTTATGAACATTAAAAACACAATTGTTTTCTACATCAGATTTCATAAGAGCCGTCAGAGTCAGATTCTTTTAAATGGTGAACTTTGTTGTCAAAAGTAAAGCAAGATTATTTTTACAAAAATGTGACATCAGTTCAGCTTCGAAGAGTGAGGTCAAAGTGCACCGCATGGAAGTTTTGTTGCTCAGGTTACTGTGGGGCTGTGGCACCCCTCTTAATCCTGCTTAGAAATCACCCCGGCTACCCTCAGCTGCCGTCAGATTTTACAATAATAGTAATGATTATACAAATTAGTTCAGTGTGGAGGAAGTTTGGACTAGTGTTCAAACTAGATGACTGTTTAACCGAGGATTAAAAATATTGAAGTGATTCAGACTCTAACTGCAGCCACAAGGTTAATTGTTCTGCCATATTTGGGTAGAAAATTAAGTTGTTTTGGACATGTTGAGGTTTTTAAACATGTGTCACTGGGATGTCCGCATAGAGTCCAGGGGGTGGTGGTTTGAAGTGAGGCTGGAGCCCAGGGAGAGATGGAGCTCAGACAGCTGTGCGCAGCAGACGGCGGGGGCAGAAGTGGGTCTGCAGCGGTTCGTACGGTAGACTACAGTAATTGATAAACTGCTGCGGGATAAAGTCTCTGGCCCCGTGTGTATGAGTGGGATCCCGGGAGGAGAGTGTGCAGGTAGAAGGGCCAGCAGAGGGGCAGGGGCCTGGCAGAGGAGACTGAAGGCCTAGGGCCGGGCGACCAGAAGGAAGTAGCATGTTTTCCGTATGAGCATGTACCGCTTTAAAGTGAGAAATTGGGCATGTTTGGAAAAAACCCTGATGGCGTACTTTGTAACATTCTGTGTGTTTTTACGTAGAGCAGTACTTTTCGTAACTTTCTTTGGTTTGCCTCGGAAAAATGTGCGGCCGAGGACCGTTTTCTGGGAACTCCGTTTTCCTCGGTTGTGCCCTCCTGCCTGCTCAGGCACCGTGGGCCCCCCTCGTGCGCGTAGTGATGGGCCGGGTCCCGGGTCTTCGCCGGCAGCAGCTCTGCCGTTTCCGGGTCACCTCGCCAGGATCCGTGTGGGGTACAGCTGCGGCTTCGACCTGCCTCATCGAGAGTCAGTTCTGCAGGTTTTTATAAGAGTGTATCTTTCTGTTTTTCATAGCCTTTGCCCGTTAATGAAGCCAATGGGAAAATACTCTTCTATAACATATCCTGTTCGTCTGACGAGAAAACACAGTCCCTTTCTGAGATCCCCGATCCGCAGCACAAGGCAGAAATACAGCTTGATAAGAACAACTACATCATCAGTGTGGTGGCCAAAAACTCTGCGGGCTCATCGCCTCCTTCTAAAATAGCTAGTATGGAGATTCCGAACGGTGAGTGGGGGTGACGGGGCACACGACACCAGGAAACTGATGTGAACAGTTTGAAGGCGTCGCTTGCCCTTGTCCTACTGCTGACGTGTGGGGAGGACCAGCCAGGTGCGTGGGCCGTCCCTGGGACGGCGTTAGTCCCGACCCAGGACCAGCCAGGTGCGTGGCCATCCCTGGGATGGCGTTAGTCCCGACTTAAAGCTCGGCACTGAGGGAGGAGGAAATTCCTTGACCTCTTACTGTAGCGCAGTGTTGGAGAGTTGTGGTGCGTTTCGCTCTTAGGAAGAAGCGTTTTAACAGTTTGTTCAGATCCTTTTTTCATCTGTCTCCCCCCCCACACACCACGAGAGTCGATCCTGGGCTCTTTCCAAACTGTCAGGCAGGAAGACAGTTGAATGGCAGCTTTGTTGATAAGACAGTCTTTTAATAGGAATCCTTTATGGATAAAAAATTCTTCTTAAAGTCTAAATTAGACCTTCAGTGTAAACTTTAAAAATTTTTTGGCATAATTTTAAAATTACTTAATGCTTTCCTTTAAATGTGATGGGTTAGCAGTGAGTAGTCCAGTCCTCCTCCGCCACCCCGACAGGGTGTTGAGTGCTGAGTTCAAATGGCACGTCAGCCTCTGCTCCAGCCAACCCCTCGTCAGTTACGCACCCCGTGCTGTTCTGCTCCAGCGGGGCACCCTTCTCTGACCATCCACTTGCAGAGGAAGACGGATTGGTCCAGGGAGGGTCCTCCTGTATCTGTTCAGTTCTGACTTGAGGCAGTCTTATTACTTGTCACTGAACCGGACCTTCATTTGCATAGGGTGTAGGGGAATCAGGTGGGAATGGGAGCACAGCATGTTTCGGAGACACAGAACACTGACCACCCCAGTGTCAGTGCCCACCTGGCCGTCCACGCCGACCAGCTTCAGTGTCAGTGCCCACCTGGCCGTCCACGCCGACCAGCTTCAGTGTCAGTGCCCACCTGGCCGTACACGCCGACAAACCCGTATCAGTGCCCATCTGGTTGTACACGCAGCCAGCCCATATCAGTGCACACCTGGCCATACACGCCGACCAGCCTGTATCAGTGCCCACCTGGCTGTACACGCAATCAGCCCATATCAGTGCACACCTGGCCGTACACGCCGACCAGCCTGTATCAGTGCCCACCTGGCTGTATACGCAATCAGCCCATATCAGTGCACACCTGGCCGTACACGCCGACCAGCCTGTATCAGTGCCCACCTGGCTGTACACGCAATCAGCCCATATCAGTGCACACCTGGCCGTACACGCCGACCAGCCTGTATCAGTGCCCACCTGGCTGTATACGCAATCAGCCCATATCAGTGCACACCTGGCCGTACATGCCGACCAGCTTCAGTGTCAGTGCCCACCTGGCCATACACGCCTACCAGCCCGTATCAGTGCACACCTGGCCGTACACGCCGACCAGCCTGTATCAGTGCCCACCTGGCTGTACACGCAATCCACCCATATCAGTGCATACCTGGCCGTACACGCCGACCAACTTCAGTGTCAGTGCCCACCTGGCTGTACACGCCGACCAGCTTCAGTGTCAGTGCCCACCTGGCCGTACACACCGACCAGCCCATATCAGTGCCCACCTGGTTGTACACGCAGCCAGCCCATATCAGTGCACACCTGGCTGTACATGCAATCAGCCCGTATCAGTGCACACCTGGCTGTACACGCAATCAGCCCATATCAGTGCACACCTGGCCGTACATGCCGACCAGCTTCAGTGTCAGTGCCCACCTGGCCATACACGCCTACCAGCCCGTATCAGTGCACACCTGGCCGTACACGCCGACCAGCCTGTATCAGTGCACACCTGGCTGTACACGCAATCAGCCCGTATCAGTGCACACCTGGCTGTACACGCCGACCAGCCCGTATCAGTGCCCACCTGGTTGTACACGCAGCCAGCCCGTATCAGTGCACACCTGGCTGTACACGCAATCAGCCCGTATCAGTGCACACCTGGCTGTACACGCAATCAGCCCATAGCAGTGCACACCTGGCTGTACACATTGACCAGCCCATATCACTGCACACCTGGCTGTACACGCCGACCAGCCCGTATCAGTGCACTCCTGGCTGTACATACTGGAAAGGGTGGAAGCAAAAAAAAAATGAGACGTGTGACCAGCCTTGAGGCAGATAACCACTGATTTGGATATTTCATTGCTCTCGATGATGGGCAATAGCTGGGTTATCATCTGACTCAAGGCCTATATTTTTACCTCTTCCATGTGTCTCCAGAAGATAGTGATTTACAGAACGCACAGCGGTCTAGTCGTCAGTTCTCATTCCTGACGTCCCGGAACAAATCATTGTCCCGGAGGGTCTCTCGAGTGGGAGGCCTTGCAGGCTCTGCGCAGGGTGACATTGTGGGTTTTTAATCACTGAGCCAAAGCTGTTATGTCCAAAGGTGTCTTTATTCTAAGCCTAACTGTTGTGTTCAGTAGTAGTTTTGATCAAAAGTCTTCCTTTGGCTTTTTACCAAACCCCTAAACGTGCAGCAGTTGTAGGATTTACAGCCATCCCTCAGTGCACGTGGGGTGAGTTCCAGGTGCCAGGGTCCACAGGTGCTCGAGGTTCTCGGAGACCATGGCCAGAACCCCACGCGGGCGCCCTCGGCACCCTCGGATTGCCAGCCACTGCTTGGAATCGCTGTCTTCACGCTTGGTCAAAGCAGCAGATGCAAAACCCAGAGACACGGAGGGCCGACTGTATTGCTTTCTCCTGTCACTGTGGGGAAATGTCCCTCTTCCTTTTGGCCGCGCCTCTCGAACCCACGCTCGTGTCTCACCCCACCTCGGGCTCCCTCATCGCCCAGGCCGAGGTCGGACGGAGCCTCGCCCCGGAGCCCTTCCCACCAGCCTCTGCACCTCACCCCTCTGTCCTCCACGGGCCTGTTTAGGCTTTTCCCTCTCTGCCCACTGGCCACCCCGTCCCACAGCTTTTCATCCCAGGCTGTTTTAGGCTGCACCCTGCCCCGTCTCCAGAATCCCTGCCGCCCGCGTTGTGGGGGGCAGTCTCCAGGAATGGGGGAGACAGGCGGGTGCGGCCACTCATCCGCCCCTGCTGCCACAGAACTCACACCCACCGTGGTGACGGGGGGACGCAGACTGTCCGCCCCTGCTCCTGCTCCGCGGCCGCGGCCCCTCTGCTGCCCGAGCCTTCCCGGCCCTGGCCCCCCGCGTCCTGCCCTACTCCACCACCTGATCGGGCCTGCTTGTTATTACCTCCTTTTAGCTGCTGAGTTTATCTGCGTGTACAGGTACTTGCCATGGTTAACAACAAAAACAACAGAGCCGCACAGAAACTTGACCGAAGGTTCACCTACTTTGAGCGCTGTTCTAAAATGTCTGTTCAGCGCAGTAGTTTTCAGAGCTCTTGCCCATTCTCATGAGGTCTGCCTTGTGTTGTTGTTCTTCACGTCGGTAAGGGGTCCTTCTTTCTCGTTGAAGATGATCTCAAGACAGAGCAGACGGTGGGAACGGGGAGCGGGATCCTCCTCACCTGGAACCACGACCCCAACATGACTTGCGACTATGTGGTCAAGTGGTGCAGCGCCTCCCAGCCGCAGCCCTGCCTCATGGACTGGAGGAAGGTCCCTGCGAACAGCACGGAGGCCGTCATCGAGTCCGGTGAGCGTCCCCGAGCCCTGCAGGCACAGCCTCGCCGAGCGCAGCCGTGGTGGCCGTCTCCCTGGCGCTAGCCCGGGTGTGGATCGCCTTGGTTTTCTGGAAGGGGATTTGGGGCCGTATGTGTGTGAAAGGATGAGGGTCCCCCGGATCTAGTGATCACTTGTCTAGGGATTTATTCTGAGAAGTGAGAGAGCAGCACGGATTTTCGCCCGAGAACATCCACCACGCATTGCTTGTAGTTGTGAGCATGGGAGATGGCAAACAGGAGACTGGGTCGCCTTGGTACTGTGCGCGAGGCAGTAGTAGCAATGCTGAGACTGGGGTGGGAGGTCCAGCCACGGGAGCCCTCATGAAGAAGGCTACGGGACTGGGTCTCCTGCGGTGTTTTTTCACCTGTGTTTGCCGGGGCCCAGGTTACCAAGGTCAGGGCGAGACTGAGCACCAAGGACCCTTATTACCTCTCGGCCTGGGGTCGATGGGGGGGGGGGGCCCTCAGTGTGGCAGCCGGCACAGTGGGTGGGGCCATCTCCCTGATTGCTGAGCCCCTTTGGAGAGCTGCCCCGATGCTCTACAGCCTCAAGTTAGCCCCGGGGCACGTGGTAACCCACAGGCTAAAGCACTGTGTCCTCGGGACCAGTGCCCTTGCCACTGTCCTGTCCCTTCTGAGAAGCTGATGAGTGTTGTGTGTCCACCAGCCATGGGGATTCTGGAACCTGCAGCTGGTGGTGGTGGTGATACCCTCCCCCCATGGCTGATCCTCCCTCGCTGACTGTTCTGCCCTTGTTTCCATTGTCACTGTCAAATGGTGAGGACGAGTTTCCCTCATTACATCACCACATGTGGGTCCGATCATGTTCCTGTTCTACTTGGAATGAAGCCAAACTGCTTCCCATGCAGTTGGCCAGGGCAGTGACGTTGGTCCCTGTGGTGTTCTACCTGCACACCCCTCTTCCTGCGCATCTTGCTGCACCCCACCCCTCTTCCTGCGCATCTTGCTGCACCCCACCCCTCTTCCTGCGCATCTGGCTGCACCCACCCCTCTTCCTGCGCACCTGGCTGCACCCCACCCCTCTTCCTGCGCATCTGGCTGCACCCACCCCTCTTCCTGCGCACCTGGCTGCACCCCACCCCTCTTCCTGCGCATCTGGCTGCACCCACCCCCTCTTCCCAGCGCATCTGGCTGCACCCCGCCCCTCTTCCCAGCGCACCTGGCTGCACCCCACCCCTCTTCCTAGCGCACCTGGCTGCACCCCACTCCTCTTCCCAGCGCACCTGGCTGCACCCCACCCCTCTTCCTGCGCCTTCCCTTGCATTTCCCCCACTTTAGCTGCCTGAGCCTCACACTGGCCTGTGTCCTCCTGACGCCGCCTCCGTCTCCTCACCGGGCCTGGAGGGTCGTGGGGATGGACTGGGCAGGTTGGAGTGGTGTGGGGAGGCACCGCCTTAGACACCGTGTCTGGACATCACAGGACAGATGAGAGAGGCCCTTCTGGGCTGGGAGAAGTTAGGTAACTTACCCAAGGTCACAAAACAAGTGTATGATGGCCCCAGGGGTCAAATTCACAGCAATTCTAAGCTTTGTCTTCTATTTCCTGCTGCTCGAACAGTGTGTGGCCACAGTAGGTGATTCTCCTGTTTTTTTCTCCCCAGTCATCTCACCGACCTTCTCTCTTTTGTGACCTCAAAACACATCCTAATGCTCTAACCCCGTCAGGCACTTCTTTTTAGGAACCAGAATCCTAGACAATCGATAGACATAATTGAAACATCAGACTAGGTCCAGATTTACTAACGTACGTGCAGTGCAGAGTCATAACCTCGAGCGTGCCTGTCTGCAGAGAACTTAGGAAAGGATGTTGGAGGGCGACCAGCTGGCTTCGGAGCCTGCGGACCCCTGGTTCTGGGGCACTGAGCTGGAGAGCAGTGCACTACGCGTGCTGCACACGCTAAGTGCAAACCCGTATACTCACAGTTTTCCCCAAGCAGATTTTTCTTCCGAGACCCCCGCCGGTGCACTGCTCATTGCCCTTCAAGGTCCTGTTCAAATGCCACTTCTTGGTGGCTTCTTCCTTCCCGGAAGGTGCCACAGCCTGTGATTGGTCCCTCTGGTCTAACACACAGTGTCGTGATTGGCCCTGCTCATCGGTCTCCCCACCTCCCTGTGGCTCCTCTGGACCACGCCCTTGTGCCGTGCACCCCTGGCTCCCAGCTTTTCCCACTTGGCGTTGTACGGAGGAGGCATTTAAAGGGGCTCTGGAATTGACGTTAAGGCGCTTCTCTGTGTGGAAGTTGACTCACGGGGCCCTGAACGGCCATGCCGTAGAGAGGAGCAGATCCAAGGCTGGTTCCGTCCACGCTGACGCGTCAGCACAGTGGAAATTCGAGTGTCCCTTCTGGCGCCAGGAGGGAACAGCAGCTGGTTCTGCACTCAGAGCCGTGGCCAGGCGGCTTCCGGGCGCCGTGCGGACCCGGCCCTGGGTCACAGCTTGTGTGAAGAAACAAAGTCAAAGCCTTTATCCCCATTTTCTCTCTCTTCAAGGTGCTGTCCTGCTAGAGGGCTAAACTTTTCATTACAATAAAAGTGACTTATTTTTGCAGCCAGTTTTCACTCTGAATATTTGCCAGTTTTGAAACTATGGATGTATTTTTCTTTATAATAAGAAAGCATCTGTTTAAAATTAGCTCCAACAATTTCAGAGTCAGTTATTATAAATTTGAAATTTCCAAAATAGATATAGTAATGTGCACTTACGGAAGTTTCCAAATTGTGTCCTTCCTGTAGACCAATTTCGGCCAGGTGTGAGATACCACTTCTTCCTGTATGGGTGCAGAAATCAAGGCTATCAATTGTTACGTTCTGTGATTGGATACATAGAAGAATTGGGTAAGTTTTAGATGGGTAAGTTTTCTTAGAGTTCAAGGTAACACGAGAGATTACAAATTGACAACAGTTGGACTCTAAAAATAGATTAAATTGGGATGTTTAGTTCAAGGAAGGAATAAGATAATTGTGTGATAAATTTAAAATGATGAATGTTTATCCTTCATTTGTTTAATGTTTGTATTTCACAAATTCATTGTCACTGGAAAAAGTCTTAATGTGCAGTTACACAAATGTAAAATGATGAACGTGCTCCAAACTGTCAGTAAAGAGTGGAAACAGGAATGGGGTCTATTTGAACAGCCACGTAAAGGTTCTGCGCGCGTCGCTTCCCTGAGGGTAGGTGCTGCCTTTGTGTCTGGTTACAGCTTCACAGCGAAAGCTGGCGCAGCAGCATGGGCGAGAGGTTGTGGTCAGATAGGGGAGACAGTTCTAATTCCAAGTTGAGCTATTTTGAGGCTAGAAGTCTCAGTAGCCACTGACGCTTACTCTGCATCCGTCAGTTCCCCTTCAGCTGGCGACTTTTCCTTCCACAGCTCCCATCGTCGCCCCCAACTTCACCGTGGAGGACACGTCTGCAGACTCGATACTAGTGAAATGGGAGGACATCCCTGTGGAGGAGCTCAGAGGCTTTTTAAGAGGATATTTATTTTACTTTGAAAAAGGAGAGAGAGACACATCTAAGATGAGGAGTTTGGAACCGGGTAAGTTAAGTACAAAAGTGAGTACAGCCCTGGCCAGTTTGGCTCAGCGGTTAGAGCGTCGGCCTGCGGTCCGGAGAGACCCGGGTTCGGTTCCCGCTAAGGGCACGTACTTCGGTTGCAGTTTGTCCCCGGCCCTGGTTGGTCGTGCGGGTGGCAGCCACTCGATGTGTCCCTTTCACATCGATGTTTCTCTCTCTCTCCCTTCCTCTCTCTCCCTCCCACTCTGTCTGTACAAAAAATGGAAAAAATATCCTCAGGTGAGGATAAAAAAAAACAAAAGTGAGTACAGTACTTCCTAGAAGCTCCTCATTAATGATGACAACAAAAAAGAAAAGTCGAAGTGCTATTCATTGCTCTAATACTGGCTTCCAAAACTCTGAAAAATAGGGAAACAAAAATGCAGTCATTGTATGAATAGGAGAATGTTAACATTTTAAGTATGTGATCAGTGAAGGGCAGTCTTTCAGAAATTATCTAAACTATTTATTGTGCAGCCTTTGATTCTCTGCTCCACGGGACAGAGTCCGTGTCTTACTAGTCTGGCTTAATCCATAATACAGCATCTTTTGAAGGTTACTTAAAAAAAGAAAAAAACAGTCTTCCTATACTGATTATAATAGTAGAGGAGAAAAACTCAGGAACCTGAAGAATAGCCCGGGAACCGCCTCTGTTCTCGGACAGCACCGCCCTCCTGGTTAGCCGTGGCCTCAGCCAGCTGAGACGCTTAATTGACTCAACTGGGGACAGGTAGATCCATTAGATCTTGAAAAGCCAGCCCTTGACAACCGGTAAGTATATGCCCAAAGTACTTAGAGAATTCCCAAAGTTGCAAATACAGAAATGTTTATGCAGGCTTCTGGCTTGTCCCTACATTATATTTCTGTTGTAGCCAGATGTTTCTTGTTCATAGCCACACACACAAGTGTATCATCTTATCAGTTTGAGAGCTTTCATCTCCCTTCATGCCCTCCCCCCGGAAAGAGGAACCGCGTCGGTCATTCAGTGCCGGTCTGACAGGTAGAGAAAGCTGTCACCGTGTGCAGATGCCAACTGGACACAGCTCAGTCACTTCCCAAGAACAGCTGCGTTAACTGCACCCCCAGATCACTGAGTCTGCATTTCCCGAGCCTTCAAAGTTGCGTGTGAAGGAGGGAACCCCTAAAGACCAAACTCTACAGACATCCAGAGTCTAATGTAATTTTCCCGAAATGCTCAGAAATTTTACACTTGAACCATTTATAAAATCCTAGCATTTAGACTTCCAATGTGACATGGTGGATTGGTCACTACAATTAGAGTAAAAGAACAAAGTGCATAAAGGCAGCGCTGGAGAGGTAAGCGTACACCAGGGAAGAGGATTTGGACATTTGGAGGCTGTGGAAGGGAATGGAGTAGAGAATCCAGGGGGGCCGTCGATGTCAGTGAGAAACCACTGGGTTCACCTCGCGGGGCCAGGATTGGAGGTAGACGGTTGGAATGGGTCTGGGCTGGACCTTGGGGGTTGACTGAAAGTCTGTGTAAGGACCAATTAGAACCCCAAAGCCCGACACCAGCTTCATGCAGCGAATATGCGTGCCCTGTCCCCTGCCTGAAGACAGTAGGTTTATTTTTTGGAGAAACTGAACCAGGAACCTCCAGAAGGGGACACCTCGGTCAACAGCACGGCCTTCGTCTTCCTCTCTCCCAAGCAGCCAGTGGGACAGCTTTGGCGAGGCCTGTTTTCCCAGTCGAGGGTTAGAGGCTCTTTCTTTGGAAAAGTAAATGGTTCATGGTGAAGGACATAGAAGATGCCGATACGTGAGGGATTGTCCCAGCGAGAAGCCTGGTCATTCCCCAGCAGGAATAAGTGAAGCCCACCCACCAGTAAGCCCACCCGTGCACGCTGAGCCTCGTGTGGGCCTCTTAGTGGCTCACTCGGGAATGCAGCTTAGCTACCGTGGGTGACCAGACCGTTGAGAAGTCTCCTAACGTGAAAGACAGAAACCAGAAGGAATAGGAGGAAACACGCAGTGTGGGGAAACAGAGTAATTTAAAACAAAAAACTGTCCTTGGGGTGAGATCTGTATGTATTGAAAAGACCCGACCCTGTAAAAGGGGAGAGTCAGGCGACAGGGAAGAACTCTTCAGAGGTAAGCCTGGCCCGACTTCTCAACACAGCACATATCGCAAGTGTCAAGATGTGTCTTCAAAATACGGAGCGAAAATGATTTTCAACCTAAATTTCCGTACCCGGCCGGCTGTCAGCCAATATGAGAGTAGAATACAGACGTTTTCAGACAAGGAAGGGCTCTCGGACTCCCTCCCTGCACAGCCTTTCTTGGGAGCAGCGGAAGAGCGCACCAGGGAGGAAGTACTAGGGCAGGGGTCTGGCCTGGAGCCCGTGCTCTGGGAAGGGGTGCCCTGGGGGAAGTGGTGGGGGTGGGGGAGGGTGATGGCCCCCTGACTTCGTTGTGTTGGACCAGGTAGAAAATTGTATTGAATATTCATTGGAGGATGTGCATTTGAAATGCTGCAGAGATAACAGTACTGTTCTTCACTGTAAAAATAGGTCATTCCGACGTAAAAGTTAAGAACATTACTGACACATCCCAGAAGACACTGAGAATTGCTGACCTTCAAGGTAAAACGAGTTACCATCTGGTCTTGCGAGCTTATACGAACGGCGGGTTGGGCCCGGAGAAGAGCATGTTCGTGGTGACAAAGGAAAATTGTGAGTTCAGTAGTGTCCTGGAGATGCTCCCCTTACTTTCAGCACAGTGTTCTGTTAATGTAGGGATCCCCTTTTTTTAAGTTTCATGTTTTGTTGCATTTTTGTAGTGGGTATAAGGCAGTGTTAAAGGGCCATGAGATGACTTATTTATTCTTGTTACTTACTTGAAGCTAATCCTCATGAGTACCTGAGAAGTTAATGAATTAAGGGTGTATCTGAAGTCTAACGTTCTAAATTCATGTTGAATTTATATAACGGTCAACCAGTTTTAACATTTTTTGCCCTAACTATCCTGTGGTTTTTAACATATCCAGGGAAGAGGGGGAGAACTTTTTTTTTAAATATGTTCAGCACAAATTATACGTTTGAGATGCAAAGTGGAGAGGAGTGATGGACTCCCCTGTCAGACAGCAGCCAAGAACTTGAATTTGATACCTCTGGGTGGGAGTTCACACTCACTCTTATGTAAATGGTTCTCAGTGGGGGGTAATTTTGCCTCCTGGGGACACTTGCCAATGTCTGGTGACACTTTGGTTGTAACTGGCAGGTGCTGCTGAGATCTGGTGGTGAGGATGCTGCTAAACTTCTACGTTGTACACAACCACTCCCCCGACACACCCAGACACACGCACACACATGCACGCACGCACACACGCACACACATGCACACGCACGCATGCACACGCACACACACGCACGCAGAAATAACCCGGCCTGCACTGTCAGGAGGGCCACGATGGGGAAACCCTGCTCTGACGAACTGAACTTAAGTACTTGCACAAAAATGATTAAAATACTCAAAAGGTTATATTTCAGTCGTTTTTCAGTGTCCCGGATGCAGTTAGAAATTTTTGTCCTCATCTACCAACTTTAAATATTTTCTAATATAAACTTAACTCTGCATGTCACACTACAGATGGTGATTTTGATATTTGCAACATTCTCTTTCCAGCCGTGGGGTTGATCATCGCCATCCTCATCCCAGTGGCGGTGGCGGTCATCGTGGGCGTGGTGACAAGTGTCCTTTGTTACCGGAAGCGAGAATGGTAATGGTACCTGCGTGTTCTCCTGCTGTTTTGTTCTGGGAATGGCTGTTTGGTTTGTGTGTAACAAATAAGTACCTTTTTTTTTTTTGGTTGAATCTAATTAGTGTAAAAATATTTGTGTGAGAATTAATGTTGGATTTAACATTAGTCAAGAACATGGCATATTATTTAAAGGCTTAACATTTAATAAAGTAAAAGTACTAATATTTTTCCTACTGTATTTCCTAATATTTTAAAGTACTAGCTTTTGTGCTAAAGTAATACATTTGCAGGTTTAAATATGACAGTAGCTGTCTGCAAGGTTAAATGTAGTTTCGTGATTAAGAGCTCACTTGTCTTGGTGAGCTATGTAGGAAACCTGGTCATCTGTTGATTTAGTCAGCAGACGTGAACGGGTCCTCCCGTTGGAGGGGGGAACCGTGCCTAAGTCAGCAAGGTCCTTATAGACTGAGAGCGTAGTGGGGAAGCTGGACATTAAACCCGTGACCGTCCAGCCAGTACATGCTTACAGCCTGTGAGTGGGCACAGGGCACGGGTGGGGCCGTGTCACTGGACGTGGTCGGCCAAGGCTTCCCTGTGGGAGTTCCTGAGCAGCATCCCAAAGGGTACGGAGAGGGGAAAGAATGTTCCAGGCAGGGAAAATGACTTCTGTGAGGATCCGGAAATGGGAAAGAAGTTGATCTTCTGGAGGAAGGGAGAAGAACTGTGTCTGGGTGAAGGGCAGTAGGCGAGGTCAGGTGAGGCTCAGCAGGAGAGCGCCCTCCCGGTCAGCTGGAGGGGCCGCAGTGGACGGGGCTTGGAGCCAGTGACTGTGTTCATGCAGACAGTCCTCACTGACCTTAAAAATACCATCACTTACGACAAAAACAATGTATTGTCGCAGTCCTCGCTTATAAATCACTTAGTCATCATTGAGAACTAGAGAATACCCTACCTTGGTAACTGTGTTCTCATTACCGAAGATCACATCGTAAAACTGATTTCAATACAGAAGGTAAAGTAAGGGAAGAGTTTGAAGTCAGAGCATTTCAGACTTGCGTTGGCAAAGTTAGTTTCCTGCAGGAGTTTTGAATAATAAAGTTCTTCTGAGCAGCTGCAGACGGGGTGCGGTGCCAGGCAGCTCTCCTTGTCGTGTGTGTGCCGTTTGCTCCAGGTGGACAGCCCGTCCGGTCGTCCAGAGCCTGTCACGAGCAGCAGAGAGCCGCGGGGTGCCAGTGCGCCCCGAGTTACCCCCGTGCTTCAGGCAGTTTGCAGGGCGAGCGTTTCCTCGTTAGGAGCAAGGACCCGTGTTCTACACTTGACCGGAGAGCAACATCGCACTTCGGTTCTTGGCTTTCCGTTTCCGTGAGACGCGTGAGCTGTTGTAGTTCTGGAAATAAGAGCTGTGTGTTTGTCGTTTTAAAGTTGGAGCCTCCCACCGCATTGTGTAGGACGTTCTAGTGAATGATCACACTAAAGAGATCTTGCATCTTCCTCTCATGTCCATTACAGTATTCTTATTAAATAGCAAAGTAGGCCTCGTGATTTGTTAACTGGTAGTTGTCTAATTGCTAACCTTATAATTATTAAATGTACTTAATTATTCTTTATTTAAAGGATAAAAGAAACCTTCTACCCTGATATCCCAAATCCAGAAAATTGCAAAGCGTTACAGTTTCAGAAGAGTGTCTGTGAGGTAATCGGTTTGGTTTTTTTACATTTATCTTTGAAGTACTGGCCTTTTTTTTTTTTTTTCTCTCTCTCAGTCTTTTTGAAAGGTTTTTAACATGCAGATGTCATCCGAAGTAAATATATTGAAAAAACAGTGCGCTGACATCTGCTGATCTCTACAATGATTGATTCTAAATCATTGGTATCATGCTTGTTCCCAGCAAGAATAATACTGATACGTAGGGAAAGTAGCTTTGCTCTGTGCACTCTGGAACGTAGAGACAGATTTTACAAGCAGGTGTGGAAAAGGAGGTAAAATAACGCCCCTTTGTGTGGGAGCTTTGGTGCTGTCCTTAATCTCTGTCTTAAACTTGATTTCTAGGGAAACAGTGCTCTGAAAACACTGGAAATGAATCCTTGTACCCCGAATAGTGTCGAGGTTCTGGAAACTCGAACAGCAGTTCCTAAAATAGAAGACACAGAAATAATTTCTCCGGTAGCCGAGCGTCCACAAGAGAGCTCAGAGGCAGAACCCGAAAGCCACGTGGCTGTGTCCTACTGTCCCCCCGTCATCGAGGAGGAAATCCCGAACCCCGGGGCGGAGGAGGCCGCGGGGACTTCACAAGTCATTTACATTGACGTCCAGTCCATGTACCAGCCGCAGGCAAAGCCAGAGGAGGACCAGGACGGCGACCCGGTGGCGGGGGCAGGCTACAAGCCCCAGATGCACCTCCCGGTGACCTCTGCCCTGGAAGAGGCAGCTGCAGAAGGCGACTTGGATAAAACTTTGGGTTACAGACCTCAGGCCAATGTGAACCCCTGGACCTTAGTGTCGCCAGACTCCCCCAGGTCCACAGACAGCAACAGTGAGGTCGTGTCTTTCGGAAGTCCGTGCTCCATCAACTCCCGACAATTTCTGATTCCTCCTAAGGATGAAGACTCTCCGAAATCCACCGGAGGAGGGTGGTCCTTCACAAACTTCTTTCAGAACAAACCAAACGATTAACCGCGTCACTTCCGTCTGCCGCCTCAACAGACTCTGGCTGCTGGTGTTGCCGCGGCAGCGCCGGGCGTCCGGGGGCGTCCCGTGCAGTGTGGTTAGCGAGGTAGACTTCCCTGCGCGCGGCTCCGCGGGTGTCCGTGTGCTTCCCGTGTCGTCCGCGAGCCGGAGTGCAGGGACGCAGAAACTCAGCCCACGCAGCCCCAGATCGGAGCTGCTTGTGATTCGAGCCATAGCATTCTCGCGCTCTGCCTCGGAGAAGCACTGCCAGCCTAGTGCTGTCTCTCCGTCCGCGCCAAGCAGGCCCCGCAGCAGCCGTGCCCGTGCCGCTGTCGGTGCTTTCTCACGCGTGCACTTGGTGGAGGTGCAGGAGGACCTGCAGGCAAGGGAGGGAGATGTCCCAGCAACCGATGGCGTGGACTGGCCTGCCGTTTGCTCCTTTCTGGACGAAAACCAAGCACAGAGTCGAAAACTTGTAACATTGCTCTCCTCTGTCCACAGCATTTACAAACATTAATATAATTTTTAACGTAGCGACAGCTATCGAGTGTTTTGTTTGATAAAGTATGCTGATTTCTGTGCCTACTGTATCACGGTTATCAAACAGCTTTCTCAGGGGTACAAACTTGGAAAACGAGCACGACACCGAGCAGCCCAGATCACAATTGTCTTTTCCGCCTTTGGAAGGATGTGCAAACCTCTCCATTATTTTTTTTAACTTTTCTGCTCGCTTCCCATAGAGCAGTTGATTGCCCTAATATTTAAAACTTAAATTCTTAAGACTAGAGATTTAAGTTTTTTTGTATGTTTTTTTTTTTTTTTAATTTGGGTTATTTTTTTGTTTGTCTGTTTGTTCCACATGTCAGTTGTATAAGTATATGAGCAAATTTCAATATTATTCACGAGCATACGATTCCGGTGACTTACTGTTTGAGACGACTACTAAGCAATATCTAGTGGCATCAGCACTCGGGGCGGTTCTGACTGGCCTCCGTTTGGCCTGAGAAGGCCGCGCCGAGGAGCCGGCTACCCGGGCAGCGGTGCCAGGCCTCGTGGCCAAGGTTCGTTCTGATCACACCTCTTAGCTCCTCTCTCATATGATCACCAGTCCAGACGGTCCCATCCGGTCCTCAGTTCTTAAATTTATCTTTATTGTTGGAAGTATTACAGATATTCCCCCTTTTAGCCCCGATTGTCCCTTTCCACCCCCTTCCACCCCGTCCCCCAGGCCTTCCCCACACCATTGTCTGTGTCCATGGGTTACGCAGGTAATTTCTTTGATTGATCTCTGCCCTCCCAGCCCCAGATTCGTCAGTCTGTTCCCCGCTTCCATGTCTCTGGATCTGTTTTGTTTGTCAGTTTATTTTGTATGTTAGGTTCCACATATAAGATCATGTGATACTTGTCTTTCTCTGGTTGGCTTGTCAGATCCAGTCAATTTTTAAGACTATAAACTAAAGAGAGAATGCTTCTGATGGGGACTGGACTCAGGGGCTGTTTTATAGGAAATACCATCAAACCCATTTGCCTGGAAGCGCACACCTGTGTCACAGCTGGTGCGAGCTGTCCAGGTGTGTCCTCACGGCTTCCTCCGCCAGCCCTTGGCGTTCACGTGACGTCTGATCAAGTGTGGTTCTCAGAGAAGCAGGCGAAAAACTAAGAAGTGTATCTTAACGTCGTTCCTGCCCTCAGGTTGTCAGTGTACTGTGTCTTTTGATACTTAGGTAAGAGTACTTAAATTTTTGAAATATCTAAATATGTTAAGATAGGCCTGTTATGTTTTTTTTCTCACCTGAGGTTCTGTAATGTATTTGTACATAAGGGATCGGTTTTTCTCCCCCCGGCTCATAATGTATCTTTATAAAAACCGTGTTGTGGAAGAAAGCCACATGGTGACAAAGGACAGAATCTGGAAAGGTACTCTGTGCATGGTTTTAACTGCTAGAACTCAGCCAGGTTCCCAAGCTTCACGATGGACGTGTGGAATGACATGGAGTAAATATGTACACACATAGTATGTTAAAAGTAGGTAAGAGCTCATGGGCATTCTCAGCCGTGAAGCAGGTTCTCAAACCAGCCATCCCTGCCAGTTTGCTCTGTCGTCTGATTTCTCCTCTTGTGCTCCTTCCCTTAGCTTAAACCCGAGACACTCAGACCTGGGGCTGCCTTCTGTCCCTGCCGAAGCTTGTCATCACAGTACCTCTTGTCCCCAACTCATGCCTCGTTCCCCACTGAAACCCTCTTTAAGAGAGGGTACATTTGGCTAAGGTAAAATTGAGTGGTCTGCATGACACTGCGCAGGTAAGGGGAAGAGCAGAGCGGTTGTGTGAGCTGTCATCAGTCTTTATGTATTTCAGCTGTGACCACCTGGACCTTCTACATAATGATTCATTTGTTTGGCTAATGGTGACCATCCCTGGGGCTCTCGAATCCTTATCCTCTGCCCACAAACTCTGTTCCCCTGTGCTGAGCGCTACATCCAGAACACATTTCACATCGCTTACATCCCCTTGCAAGTCAAGCTTCCCTTGTGAGGAAGGGAGATGTGGTGGTCGTTATGACTGTATTTCTCTTGTGAGAGGCCCTCTTAAATAAACAGTACTTACTAGAAAAATATTCTTAGAAGATAGCTAGGCTTTCAACATCAGATAGACCTTTTTTTTTTAACATTGTGTATTGCATGGAGTAGACCCATATACAACCGAAGCCTTCAGAGCGTGGAGCCGGCAGAAGCCTGGATTTGTGATTGTAGCTCCGAGGACCTGGGTAGTTGAGTCGTGTGTTTATGTGCTCAGGTGACAGAGGTGCTGTGTTCCTGCAGCCTAGACCCAGACGCTGCCGTTGCCGGGAAAGTTCAAGGGCAGAAGTGTGAGCCTCACTTTCCATACCAGCATTGCTCCCACAGCCCACGGATCTGAAGGATTGCACTTGGAACATCTCGTCCTGAGTGCTGTGGCAAAAGCCACCTTTGGGACACTTCGTGCAGTTTTACTCTTGTGAGCAATCAGCCCTCCAGTTTCGTGTCTTCATTCCGTCCACGTCAAGGAACATTGCTGTCCTTTCTGTACTTGGATTATTAGCTGTAGTTTAGTACAGGAGACTAAGGAATATTTTCTTCCAGAAGGAATTTGAAATCAATTTCATGGTATTTTGAAATGGAAGTTGCTCCCTAACATGGCAGGAGGCAGAAAATGTCCTCAGCTCTCTACTGCCTGGGCACATAAACTGAGGAAGACTGTCTGCTTGTTTGTTTAAAGTAATCTTTGCTGTTTTTCTGTTAAAACCTGTGTATCTTCTATGACATCTTTTACTTTGAAAGTGTACAATTAGGCATCTCACATGGGATCGTGAGCTGATTGCAAGGACGAGGCGCCTCGTGGGGGTTTAGTGAGGCCTTCTGAGTGAGGCCCGTCCAGGCTGCAGTTCCGCAGGTTCCCTGGGGTGGAAGGGGCAGGTCCCGAGGCTGCTGGCTTGGCGGCTCGCCCTCCAGAGGAGGGTCCACGGTGTGAGGGAAGACGGGAAAGCTCATGCAAACGCATCACTAGATAGCGTGTCTCTCCCCAACTTGAAGTAGTCATAGTGTCAGTGTGTTTGATGGGTATGCGGCTCGGGGCGCAGTCATACCCACCAGCATGTGCCAGCAAACCGACCGCAAATGGACGTGCGAGCGTAATTGAGTAATTAATTCTTTGGATACATTCACTGTTTCTTTGAAGCGTTTATTCTAAACTGGTATTTTCTGCTGAAACAAAGTTCCATGGTACCATGCCCATCTTTTCTATCCAGAAGGAAAGGTTTCACACAGGGGAAGGATTTGTGTCCGGTCTCACTGGAAATGCATCTTTTCGACATGACTTGAGAGTGTCATTGGAAATGACTTGGTTTGATTTTGGTCTGTTTCTGTCTTAATGGATGATGTACCATGGCTGTGATCAGTGTCAGGATGGAGGATTAAGAACAACATGTAATTCGTATGTCAGGTTTTATTGTGTGTGGTAAAATTCTAGGGGGTATGATTGGATCTAGAATATACCTAAGTCCATTTAATTGTGACACTGAATTAGGATAGGATTCTGTTATTTTTAACCTTAAGTAGTGCTTGTTTCTCCCTATATTAAGAACGTTAATATTTTGGATTATAAGTGCCCTGGTTATAAACAGTTCACCTACGCAAGACAAATTCAAGTTGTTCAACACTTTTATGAAAATTCAGAGTAGTGTTTTAGAGGGAACCCTCTGAAAGTCTTTATGTAAAGTGCCTAGCTGAAGAAGCATAGAAAAAAATTCAAAACCTCATAATAAACTATAACTGATTGAATATTAACCAGATACAAAGCAGTAGTCACTTACATCACTTATTGCTTGTTATAACCCAATACCCCACTGGGGAAAATTAATATTTAGTTGATAAGGAAATTGATTTTTATTACATTTACATATATCTCCTAAAATTGCCTTTGCAGTTGCCTATCAATCAGAATTTCTAGAAATAAAAAAGTGATGACAACACAGACCTGGTGCTGCACTCAAGTCAAAAATACTTTGCACACCTGATTGAACCGTGAGCTTGAAAGTATTGAATTTCCTTATATACGTTTATTTTCCCCCCTTTATTTTGTTTTATGATTTTCTCGTCACCATTTATCCCCCTCTCCCACCTCCCTTATTTACATGTAAAATGCACTTCCCTTTAGAATGATTTCATGGTAAATGGGTAACTCTCAGTTTCTGAACTTACTGTTTTTTTTCCTAAGCATTCCAGCGGTGTATTACAAAAGATCAAAAGATTTCTGGGTGGTAACACAATTTTTGTTAAAACATGAACAAGTTAGCTGTTAGGTTTGACGTTAGCTTTTGTTTTGTTTTTTTAATTGATCATAGAAAACAATAGTAAGTAAGGATTTTTTTTTCAAATATTCTGCCCCCAGTTTGATTCAAGATACTTTTCCCTATTACTTATGAGATACATCCTTTTATTTAATTTTTTTTCTCCTACATATTGTTTAGGGAAAGTGT